CTCTTGCCTTCATTTTCATCTCTGAATGCAGTCCTTCTGCTGCTGCAATAAACCAGGTTTAGCCGTCAAGGGAGGTTAGCAGTAATTTAACAGAATAATCTCCTCTGGTTGTGGATGGCAATCCATCACCAAACCCAACTCTGAACAGTAGGCAAGGAGTCTTCCCACTAGGGAGCTGGAAACCTGTTTGACTCTGGCAGTTGTGACGACATTTCAGATGAGTGTAAAGGCCTGTCATTTGTCTTCAGAGGGATGTCATGACACGATACTGTTATCTTGTGCACTAACACTCTAAGTATGATGGTCACTTCCTCTCACTGCTTGAAAGGTTACTCACACTGTAACACCCACTGATGCATATTTCATAACTGTCTCCTTGTTTTGGTTTTTAAGAGCATTTATTTTTATGGCTCTGTGTGCATTTCGAAAGCATGATAAGTGGTCTCCCTGGTCCACCAGTGGATTGTTCTGCTTAAGGGATTATTCTGCAAAAATGCTGTTTTTCTCCTCTCTCTGTTCATCTGTCACTTTCCTGTCTAGTCTTGTCCCTTTGTTTTGTTATATATTCTCCTCTCATATTATGATCTATCTTTATCTGATCTACGCCTACAACTAGCACACTCTCATTTATGTTCATATAGTGTACACACACAGACATGTATGCATACATATAAGAACAAAAGAGAGAGAGTGACAGAGAGACAAATTTCGTCAGGCTGCCAGGAGTAATCAGCCATCAGAGCCGTCACCCTGCGGTTCACTAATTGGATAATGTGGTGCAGAGGAGGCACTTAGCTAGCTGGGGGATTCCCCTCATCACACCGGCTGCAAGGAGAGTCATGATACAAAGTTTATTTTGACAAAAATGTTCTCCATTTGGGCCTTAAAGAAGGATCCTTGCTTATTATATTGGTAGAACTAAGATATGGTTCATAGTGAGTTGAAGTTAAAGTAATGACAGTGCTGTGCAAAGTAGCTCTACCTTTTTGAGTCATGGTTGGGGGGTCAGGGAACAAATTCAATTACTTTTTTCTGTTCTTGTTGTGTGTCCTGCTGTTGTTTCATTCATAGTGTGACTTTGACTTTTCCTATAGTATAGTACTAAGTATTTCCTAATTTTTGTATTAGGATAAAACTAGTACACTAGTCATTTCGACCTTGAAGTATACACATTAACCACTACAACTAGAGCTTAAACGTTCATGTATTTATCATGATAAAAAAGAGAATGATGTAAGGATAGGTAGTTTTGATGCTTAAAGCACCTTTTTCTGCTTCTAGTTCAGTCAAGATTGTTTTCAGGATTGACAGTTTCCAAACTAGTGTTAATGGGCTGTTGTATTATTACAATCCTTGTGTAAAGGTTGTTTTTTTTAATTGTTACTGAATTATAGAAGTTTCACTAGTTGGATAATAGTTGAAGCATAAAGTAATGCTTGTTTTATAGAAAATAAAACAAACTTATTTCCTACCAATGGTATCACTGGTAGAACAGCAAGCAGGTGTAGATGACACCACTCTAGTTACATAAACAGTTTTTTTTCTGATAGCAAATGCTTTGCTGGTTACATCAAATTTCATGACTTGAATCAAATATGTAGCAGAACTACAGTATATCACCCATTTGTTTCAGGTGTTCTTTTCTCTTTTTAAAAAGTTCTGAGGTAGCAAGAAAGGAGGGAAATTGGAGGAGTGATAACCAAATATGTTGAGCTGGCTAAATGCTGTTTCAGCTTCATCACAAAAAGGCATTGGTTCACATGAGGTTTCCTAGGTGAGGATGTCTCATGTCTCCTAAAACATATTTCCTAGTTCCTTCCTTTTTGCAACTCTTCATGCATCTCTCTATACATTGCCATTGGGAAGGACTTAGGAACAAAGAAAAGATGCAAATGGGGCAAATCAAAAACACGGTTTGGAGAACTGAGATGCAGCCAGTGTACTCTGGGGCATCAGAAGGTTTTAAGCTGTCCATGTGCACATGCCCACACTTTAAGCAGACTTAAACTTGAAAGATTGGTCAAGTGTCGCTTTTGAAATCTGGTTTATTTACAGCATTAATTTCTGTTGTTATCTTCTCAAATGGGCTCTTTGTCGCTAGACAGTTTTCGAGCCTTTACTCTTGAAACCAAGTGTTGTCTCCTGTGCGACTGTATAGGATAGATTGCAGTCGTCATTAGTGGAAGAGGAAGTCAAACTGGAAAAAAAAAAAGAAAACAAACAAACAACCCAATCTTGTATTGTGTCCTCAGTGTCATCCAGAGTACAGAGGTTAGTCAGCCTGTGACTTGTCTATAGGAACGCTTCCTTCTGTACATTCCATCAACATAATGTCGCTGAAGTTTCCTCCATCAGCTTCCTCTTCCTGCTGGGATCTGTCTCCAATCACTGCTGTCAATTAGACCTGCTCCTTCTCCCATGGACTTCTGCCTAATCTACTTTCTCTCTGGGCTGATCACATTAGGGTTCAGATGGTGCCATCATGGTTAAGAGGAGGGAGAGGGCAAAGTGGGGTGGAGGGTTATCTGCTGACGGGGAGGAGACATCAGAGACCTGGGTAAGGCCAGAGACATTGTTGTCACAGTAAAGTAGTGGTACATAAGAATTGTGATCATTGTCAGGTAAACAATCACAAGCAAAGTCAACTATGTTTTGCTTACTCATCAAAAGTGCTTACTTCTACTTTTGATGAACTTGTCTCCCCATGTCTCATCATGTCTTTTGGCTTCTTTTGATTTTCCTAACCTTTTTGACCCTTTCTGACCCTTGGGTGGTAATTAAATCACAAAATGTAAAAATATATGATATCACCATAATAAAACCTGGATGATGTAAATGTACTTTCAGTCCACTAGCATAGCAAAATCATATCAACACAGGCAACAAAGCATAGGTTTTCCTATGACCAAATGTGAATAATGGTCTGGACTTCCCCTTCTATACCTGATTTATACCTTTGGGCTTGAGTCAGTAATGTCATTCAATTATTTTGTTTCCACGATAGCTGACTTTTGGACTGAGGTTAGAGAAGATCATCACCTCGTCATCCTGTCAAATTGTTGGATGAATTTGATCTTTTCAAGACTTTATGAAAAATAATAAAATTTGAGTGATTTTCAGTGTCTGGCCCTTTATCTATGGCCAGTCAATTCTAATCATTTCATAACCCGGGTCTTGGCAGTGAAATCCATTATGACGTTCCTGAGACATCATCTCATGAAAATAATAAAGACAAGAGGTGTAATGTCGCCCACAGGAAGTGCCAAAACCCACTCAAATCAAAGGTTTCTCTCAGGAGTTTTAAATGACAATAAAATTTTATATGAAAGTATTAAGCTTCATGTCTCCTTTTACAAAGTTATTTTCTAAAGTTTTTAATTGCATCTATTAATACCACCAAAATTATCTTTTTTATGTTTACCATACCCTTTTTCTTCTCTCTCTATATGGTGTTACCAACAACAGCTCTCTCCATCGCTTGCTTTCTTTCCTCTATATGTGTTACATCTGAGCAACTCATCTTGTCCTGCGAGTGATCAAATGGTTCACACTCATTCAGCTGAATGAGGGGATAAAAGAGCGAATAGAAGGACAAATGCATGGATGAGGCACCGGCCAATGTCACGATTACTCCACTGTGCCATCCCAACGCAACAAACCAGAATCATCAGGAACACTGTGGGTGGATTCAGAAACACTTCAGTCTAGTGTGACGTCGGTTTGTTAAAGTCCAACACAACCTGAAATAGAAAACATAAAAGTGTCTGTCTCTAAGCATCCCCTAAAATGCTATTGAATTCATCTGAAGAGTGTAAATCTGCTCGATCTTTGTGTTTTTCTTTCACTCCTCGGAGCTCAAAGCTTGCTTATATACAAGTAGGTATAAATAGATGGAGAAGGATTTTGGTAACATTGTTATGGAATTAGGTTTAAGTGTCATGAGAGGACAATGTGCAAGCCAAAAGAGGAAATGTTATGAGCTCAAAATAATACATAGAAATACATCTCAGTTCATCTGTAAGAATATGTTTTCATAACAGGTATTAAAGCCAATTACAGTCAAAGCTAAAGTTGACCAGTGGTAACCATTGGTCCACAGAATCTCCTGTCAGGGGTTAGGGTTTATAATCAATGAAAAGCATGTAAAACAAAGAAAGAGTTTAAAATAAATAAATCATAGTCATATCATAGTGCATTATATGAATCGATATTAGTATTGTATCACATTGTGACATATCTTGTACCATATTGTGCAATATCACAATATCACAACGTAGTACACCACATCATATCATATCATATCATATCATATCATATCATATAGCTATTGTTATTTTGTTGTGTTACATGTATGCGATCACCTATTGGTTAGGGTGAACAAAGCACAGTGGTCCATGTTACAGTTTTTACCTCATTTATGAAATTTATTCGATGCTTTTTTTTAAAATTGTTGTTATGAAACATTATGAAAGTGGAAACCCTCTTAAAAGAGGATTTTTTGTATATATCAAGTACATCTTTATCAACTAAATGATGTGATGAAAAACTAATGCTGTTTGAAGTATCTGGTGATCAGTATTTCTGGGATTGTTAGAGTTGTTTGAAAGAATAAATCTGTTTTTACATTATTTTACTCAGTTTTGATGGCTTGACTCACAACTTCTCCCCATCTTGCAGAACTCTTCAGTTTCGTGTTATCCATTTTGATATGATTTAGATTTCCTGTCTTGTTTCTAATTTTCTCCCTTCCTGTGCTCTTGCTGCAACTGAGATTGGAGCAAAATCCATGGAAAATTATCAGATGAGTCAAGGGCATTAGCCTTGGCGCGTATATTAGTTATTTCTACAATTAGTTGAGAGAAAAAAATATCCATCTCAATAACACCATAGGCCTCCTCAGCCCAAACCATGAGCAAGACCAATGACGAAAGCAGATACCTACTGACGTCTCAGAGCCCTGATCAAATCTGAGGTCCCCTCCTGCTCTGAAAGAAACATCCAGGTGTATAAAAATGGGAGCAGACCTGAAGGCAAGAAAGGCAAAAACACCAAGAGAGACAGGAGCACCGGAGTGGAAATACAGCATCTTGCTCGAGATCGTAGCTTTGGACAGCACTGCAGAAACTGCCAAAAGCGGACAACTTTATAAAGCACATGTAAGATTTCACATCATCTTTGATTTCTTCTTTTATTTTGAGTGTGTGTATTCAGTGATCTCTCTCGTTGGTCTTTGTGAACTTGTGTTTCTGTTTTCTTTGAGTTCAGTAGGATAAATTTGGATAAATCTCTCGGAATGCATGCCGAACTTTTACATCGAACAAATAGGTTCTCCAACATTAGCATTGAAACTTTAGACTTTATTTGTGGTGGTGGCATCAGAATCGCAGCCTGTCTGTAGTCAAATGCATGCTTGGTTATGGTTCGTGTCCGCAATACGCACATTTACGCACTGGATTTCACAGCTCTCCCTCATCAGAATTCCCCACCAAACGGGAGATAAGGCAACGATTGAAATCCTGGACTTCGTATTCGTTTGTTTTTTTCAACTTTAGAACATTTTCACAATTTTATAAACTATTTTATAAAGTAAATTGACTTAATTTGATGGTGATTCAAACACCAGAACGTTTACAAGGTGAGAACTATCTCCACATATCGCACTTTAAAACAGAATTCCGATGTCTTTTAGACTAGTAGTCTTGGATGAGACGAGATGGGTTTTCTTAGGCAGTCGTGCGTAATTACGCACCAATTCTTGCTTCTTCGTGCCACTCTTTTTTTGACAATATTCACAATTACGTGACTGTTCTATTCAAGATCCATGATCAAATGGTCCTCGCTGACAAAATATCTCTCCTATTTCAACAGTTCTTACTATTTCTTCAACTTTTTCATGGCATCTTCGCTACTCTACTGTTGCGCATAAATTATCCAAAGGAAACGTAAAGTGCTATAAATCAGAATGCATTCTATTTCGACAGAAAAGCTGGTATGAATTATCCTGAATGCGTTTTGTATTCGTGTCATAGATGTAATAACCTCTTTCAACATCAATTTTCATCCTCAGGTGTAAAGCAATGTTACAACGAACCGGACCCCAGCTGATTTTCCTAATAGCCCTGTGCAGTGTGTTTTATTCCCGGACTCTGAGTCTGCCATACACATCCATGAGGTAAGGGACTTGCTCTTCTCCCCAATTAAAGCTTGTAGAGAATGGAAAGTCCAGCATTGTCATTGTGTATGTGCATTTGGACTGAGTTTTACTTTTTAGCTCTGTTCAGGTTTCCTCACCCTAACACCAGATGAGACACGTGAACATTTAACATTTGTTGTCATTAAAATGTTCGAAAATGGAAAAATGTCCGTAATTTTTGCCAGGTTTTGGTTCACATGATGCCAAATCTGAACCACGTAGACATACTAGAAATATAAAATAGGCACCTTTACCTAGCTTTATTTATGTAACCAGAAATTTGTTGTTGTGCATTTAACTCTCCTTGGCATCATCCAAACTGTCCGTATACCGGATTACTTGTAACATAATCAGGTTAAATTTATGACTATAACAGGTTTTTCTCGTGTTTCTATTCATGTGAAAATAAATAATTTTGATGGTTAATGTACTGGGGATCCCTCCTTGCGTTTTTTTCGCAACTCTTGAAGAGAATGAACTGTCTGTTGTTGACCGTCAGTGGTATCATTTCAACCAATGCGCAGTCAGAATGGAGACTTTTGCGCAATGTTGATGCTTATGTTGCGTTATTTTGATTTTTATTGTATCACTACTGACCAGCTGTTAATTAGCATCTACTGTGACTCTGTGCAGACCGTCAAGACACGCAGACGGTCTCTTCACCAGCGGATATAGCAAACTACTCGGACAGCTCTCAGCGCGAAGGTACCTGGAGTCTCTGATCGGAAAACGGGTTAGGTAGGTGATCTCCTACCTGACAAACCTTATTCGTGTTACCCCTGAGTATTTTTATATCTGTCTAAGCTTGTCTTAAACACCATGTCCTATACTGGAATCAGAAAACAACCCCAAAGTTCCTCAGTCTTTTCTGTATTTAGACACTAATAGCAAATGCTATATAGATATGCGTAAACATGATCTTTTTCTTTTAAAAAATTGTTTCAGAATATATTAATGCAGATTTTGTTGAAAGACAAGACACGAAAATAAGCTTAGAACGAGTACTATGCTTTTCTTCAGAACCAAAATCCACAGTAGCAGAACCCAAAGTCGTCAGAGAATAGAGCTAGTTTAAATGTAGGACAGTCATTCTGTGTCTAATGTGGGATAATTTCACTTTAAATTTTAAAACTCCATGTGTGTTGCCTGAGGGGAAATATCAGAGCCTTAGGTGCTCAAATATCTGGGAATAAAGACAATAAAAAACAAAGAAATTGAATTTTTTGGACCTTTTAACCTCAAAGTGTGTAATAGTTACCAGAGTTATGATTTGATTATTAAATTTAGTCTGTTTTAATTCTCATCAAAATGCAAGATTCAGATAAAATCAATTAAGCTCCATCAAAACAAACACCAGAAGTTTATTCTACTCCCAAAATTTTATCACAGTCTAAACCCCTTAGATCATAAAATCAAGGTTCAAGGAATCAAGGAAACTACATTATGAAGTATTTCCAAATGACCATCCTTTCAATATTTTGACATGTTCCCATTTAACTATTGAATGACTATACATCAAGTTCTTTATTGTGGAGATATTTATGTCTTTAGTTGAACACCAAAGAAGCTGACATTTGCAGGATGATGCATTTTGTAAAATGACTAAACATTTTTAAAGGTTAATTTCTGTCATATCCTGCTTAGCACATCATGGTAAAACAGCCCGGAGGAATCAACTCACAACTCACACACAAAGAGAAGAAAGACTCAATGAATCATAGATCCTGAGCTGCTCTGATATTGACATCAGAACCTACTCTCACCTGTGATGAAACCCTCACTTATCTCCATGTTGTTTTTATTTCTGCTCTCATCTCTAGTGACGAGCTTATGGATGAGCCGGTGAAGCGCCACTCAGACGCCATCTTTACAGATAACTACAGCCGCTTCCGCAAACAGATGGCCGTTAAGAAGTACCTCAACTCAGTCTTAACAGGAAAGAGGAGGTAGTTAGTGGTTATTACTTCCTTCACGTTTTCTCTCTCTGACTGACACAATAACCCTCACCCCTCCACATCCAGATCCACATACGCACGTACATCTGTTTGCACACATACACACACCAAAAGGTATTAGAATCCATATAGCCAGCCAACTCTTCTGGCATCATTTGGAACCAAAAACAATCTTTATAATGTCACAGCATTTTGGTGAAATTGGCGTCATATTGGCATCCGCCTTAACAAGGCCAAAATCACCATTATCTTAAGACATTTTACAGCATGTTAAATCTAAGACTGACAAGTGTTTCATATAAATTCTCTTATGATGTGTTGACAAATGCAGTTTTCATAATACTGACTTGAATGTTTACCTTAACAATAAATGGTTTTTCATTTGTTAGTCTTATTGGTAATGCTTTCTTTTACAGTACACTTATTACAAGGTAATTACCTGGTAACAACATAAAATTATCTGGTAATTACATGATAACTACTAAGTCAATACCATCTAACTACCAGGTAGGTAACCTTCCATCATCAAACAAATTTGAAGCCAAATTGCTCTGGTATTTCCAGGATTTTCTACGCTTCCTGGGACCATCACTTGCCCAGTAGCATTGTACTCATTCGGCGGGTGAGTCGCTGTGATAATGCTCGGCCCAAACAGCGTATTGCTACGCAATTTTCACACGCCCATAGGCTGTATCAAGTGTCAATCATAGACAATAAGAACCCCAAATAGCTTTTGAAAATGGAGCTGCACAGAAAAAAAGAAAAAAAGAAAAAACTAGACAGTATTGACTTAGTAGTTATCATGTAATTACCAGATAATTCCATGTTGTTACTAGGTAATTACCTGTTAATTACCCGGTAATAAGTGAACCGTAAAAGAAGGCGTTACCGTATTATTACACAGAAAGAATCTAAAATGTGATAGCTGCATTATATATCCGCCATCCTGCTCTCTTGTCATCAGTATCAGCATCGGCTGCTGAAATTCAAAGCTTTAGTTTCCAATCTTATTCCTTTTTTATTTCTTAAGATTGTGTCTCTGGGTTCTGTTTTATTGAATATGACAACAACATAGGCAGGAAATATGGAAAGAGAGAGTAAAGAAGGGATGCCCCAAATAGTCTAAGGTCAGTGTCAAACAAATGAGTCGCATGTTGGGGACTTTGCTTCTGTGACAAACCAGCCCCCTCTAAGTGATATTCATTTCTGAACATCACTTAAAGGACACAGGGGAAGTTTAAAACTTGAGATTTCAGGAACAGATGCTGGTTTATTTCAGTGGTCTTGCAGTGCACCCCATGCACACTAAAAAAGAGGCAAAATGATAAAATAATCTTAATGTTAGCGAAGAAATGTTAAACATGATAAATTGTTAAAACAGGGGCATCTCTTTTTTCCCATGCTTTTCCTTCCATTTGTTATCCATTCTGTCTTCTCTGATAGAGCAACACAAATTTTAGCACTCTGGAATGCAATCCAAGTTTGTTGACCCTATACCCTCTCCCAAAACAAACAGCCTAGAAGATCCTGTACCCAGTGACTCAGAAGACTCCATGGATGAACCCAACGCCTTCCAGGATAGCTACAGCGACATAAACGTAGATCACCTCCTAAACAACTTTCAACTGGTAAGAACAAACATACACAAACACATACACAAAAATGTTTGTAGTCCTATACAACATAATCACCTTCCTAGCTGAGTATAATTAATCTCTTAACCCTAAGGCACATTGAAGGAAAGACAGCCCAAACATACTATGACGTCTATTATATGCAGTGGTGAAAAGCATACACTCTTACATACCACTTTCACCACAAAACAGTGTATTAGTAAATAAATGGAAGTTAAGAGGCAGAAACAATAATGAGAAAAAATGTAGACCGTTGCATTTACAGTTGTCGATTATTCTGTATCAGTAACCCACATCTCTGTGTATCCCACTCTTGTCCTCTGCAGCCACTTTGAGGAGGGGTCCCGCTCGAGTGTATGCCTCAAGTCATCCTCATGCAACTGTCCACTCCAAAAACAACGCAGTATTAATCCAAAGGACATCTGAAAGTCAAGCCAACCTGATGATGTGTTCTTTATCAGTTCATACACACTGTTCATGTTTACACTGTATGTATATACAGGATATATACACAACACTTAAAAGACTCTAGCCCAAAAATTCTTGGGACCAGTCCAAGCAACATGTGTGTCCACATGCGCTTAGCTAAGTAAGTGAAAGATATGACAACAGGCAACAGTAAATATACAAAGAAAGCGGTTTACTTCTTTCTGTCATCTCTGTTGTCTGTCAATCAATGGAACAATTTCTCTCCTAATAATTTTGAAGAAAAAAGAAAACAATAAAATTCAAGTCTGACTTGTCACTACAATTTTCAGTGCAATATTTGAACCATTGAACATTAATAAGACAGCATTTAATGATTCAGAAAGGATACCTTTACCATTTACTGTCAGTGATGAAGAACATTGGCTTTCTCCATTAAATTCTATGACCCATTGTCACTTTTCCTTGAAAGAGACCAATTGTTTTTCAACTCACTTAAACCTTTAAATAAGTTTGATCTCACACTGACTTACTTTCTCCAGTCAGAAGTTCCATTAAATCTGAGTGAAATGTATCTCATCATAACTTCCAGGCAAACATCCACACACTTTTAACAATAAATGAGTGTTTTTATTCATTCAATTGAGTCTTTATATTACCCCTTTAGCTTTAAGTGAAAAATTGTCAAGGTAAATTTTACATGATTAAAATGGAACAGATAATTATCATCATGTGCTGATAAAAATAAGGAGAAAGAGAAAGAGGAACACATTTTGAATGGACCAGATGCATATAATCACTTTATACTACTCAACATGTAGAGCAAAGATGTTATACCTGAGCATAGACCTGCCTTTAGTGCATACAGTGATGTACACCAATCACCAAATAAAAGATATTGGTTTATTTTTCAAAGCTGAGTCTTTTGTCTGGCTGATTGTTTAATGGTTGACGTTTTGGGGTGAAGGTTTGAGCAGTTTTGGGTGTAGAATTGAATTTTGCTGGTGGCTCATGTTTTCAGGCAGAAGAGAAAATCCAGAGCTAAACAGACTCATCAAATAAAGAGGTTATTTCCAATTAACAGGAAAGCAATGGTTCACTCATATGTAAATGGAAGTGGTAAGTTGGCATATGTATCATAAGTACTGGGTTGCAAGTGACCTTCATTTCCTCCTCATATATGTCATGAAGAACATTGGAACCACACACCAAGTTTGACTAAGTTTCTTTTAAATGTCTCCTTCTTTTCATACTTCTAAAACAGTCACGCCACCATCTTTCTAGCTGTTACAGTACTGGACAGAGCATGTGTCAGATCTCCTTGGAAGTACATTAATTCATGTTACTCCCTCGCCCATACCTACAAGGATAAATGGATAGCCTTATCTGAGAAAAATGGTATCTTCTTCAGCATAATATAATGTTTATTTTTTTAAATTATTTTTTATTTCTTTTTTCTTTTTTACAAAAAAAAGGAACGTGTTCGCAGTATTTGTTTTCCTTCCTTATTACATCTCAGTTGCAATTCTCGACTGTTTCCTATCAGAGAAAACAGTTTTCTGAGCTGTGTCTGTTTTTAACTTGCCTCTTCCAAAATACTGTGGGAAAGAACTCATAAAGTTGAAAAGACAAGGAAGAAATGGTCAGTATGAGAATGCAACAGAGCTGCTGTATGAGGTGTAGAATTCAGCACCATGGACAGCGTCAACTCGTGATCAGATGGAAATAGCCTAGTTTAAGGTAAGATTTAACCAAGTCTTAAGTAGTTGAAGAAGAATTATTAGGTTTATCTGATACATTGTGATAACAATTAATAAAGAATACTTGTGAAACAGTCAAAAAGTGGGTTAAATTCATGCCACTACCAAAGGTGCTTGCTCGCTTTCAAAGTTGTGTTTTGGGGCATCTTGCTTTTTTTCTTTTGAAAGGACAGCTGAAGAGAGACGAGAAATGTTGTGGGTAAAAGGTGTGGGAAGACATGCAGCAAAGGTTTGTAATTGTTGCCTCTTTATGTTTGGTGCTTAGACCACTTAGCCATCAGTGCCCCAGCGTGTTTGTATGAAAGTGCAGCCTAAATAATCTTGAAAAGGAGAAGAGTTTTAGTAGAGTTACTGTAATATTCTTTGTCATCTTGTCAGAAAAACATGACTTGAGTTTTTCCTTAAACAAAGTCCAGCTAAACAAAGTCCAGAGAGTGCTAATTTGATTGTTTTTCTGGTTTCTGGGTTTCAAAAACTATAATTTCTGGTATAACCTCTGTTTCAGTAAAGAGACTTAACATTTTTGAAAACTAAAGTAAGCGCTAAGAATGAAAAAGTGTTGATGGAAATATAAAATCATACTGGAGTGCACTATGTTCCTTGATTTAGTTTTATTTAAAATACACACACACACACACACACACACACACACACACACACACACACACACACACACACACACACAATGTTCTGGTGTTTCAAAGAGAACTTTTTATGAAATTGAAAGTTAATTTTCATGAGATGTCTATCATCAGGATGTAGTCAAGGAAGTCAGAAAATATTGAAGATTAGTCTAATTTATTATCTGTTTCCATATAAAAATTTGTTGACAATAAATAGGATTTTAAGTACTGTCATACTTATCTTTGAAATTGTTTTAATTCACTGACCAGTCCTTTTAGTGATTTAAAAAAAATAAAATACATACAAAATCGCACATAACAAAGTAGAAAACTCTATAAGCCTGTACGTATAGCTGGTGAGAAATCCCTCTCTACTGTTTACATGCAGCCTTCACAGTTTCAGTGCAACTAGGTCATGATGGATGCCACTAATGGACATCTGTGTGATATGTAAGGGTTACAAAGCAGCCGTGCTTTCAGCCATGTTGTCACACTTGACACTTTTAAGAGACTTCTTATTTATCCAGCTGTGAGTTTCCAAAGCTCTGTAATGACTTCCACTGTAGGAGAATATGTTTACCAGAGACATGTAATTAAAGAAGTTAAAGTGCAAATGGACTGTGCATTATCACTTGGTTGTTCACAACTGTGTGTTTCCTTGCGTTTCCTCTTTAATAGCTGTCTTGTATGTGCTTCACAGCAGAGAAGCATCATTAGTGACATCCCATGATGCTTGGCCCCACATATTCCAATTTAAGGTCCTAATGTTTGACGTGGCTAAATAGGTAGTTTTCTCTTGATTGCAGTACTGATGCAACCCTTATTAAATTCATACATGCTCTCTGCCTGTCACTCCAATGTCAGTGTTTGGATCTCTTTCCACCAGCAAAGGAAGTCTGTACAGATGCAATTCTCATTCTTGTTAAGCAAACTGAACATTTCATAAAAGATGGAGCTCTTTGGTAGATCTGATCCAAATAAAAGCTGCAATACTGCAGATGTGTGGATTTGTCAAAGTTGTCACCCACTGGCATAGAGAGTGCTGCTGGACTCATATTAACACCACCTGCAGACAGTGAGTTGTACTGCAAAGTGACACTGCTTACTAGCTTGTATTTTTCCAAAAGCTGATTCGTTATTTCTGAAGTGTTGTCAGTCAATCGCAGAAATGTAAACTGTGCAAATTTTGATCATTTCTAAGTATGAGTAGACGTTAAGCCCTGAGATAGATTTGCAGCCTGTCGGGTTTACTGCACCACTCGTCCGATGACATCAAAGACAGGCCCTAGCCTATAGGGTGTTGGGATAAGTGCTATAGGTAATGGATGGCGCACATGTTATCTTGGCCTCTTACGCTGCTTTTCAATAGAGACATTTTCTTTTACCCACACAAGCCTCCAATTCATATGATAAAAAAATAGCATTTCAGTAGAATCCATTAGACCAGGGTTACAAGGGTTTCCCCCAAATGACTAAAGCACTGCGATAAATCAAAATGAAATTGCTCACTCTTCGTGAGTCACTTTGTTTGTATGTGTCAAAATGGCAGCGGAAATTTGACTCATAAATGTCATAAGCAATGTTAACCGCAGGGCTGGACCCGCATCAAACAGTCTTTAAAAAAGGAAACCTGGATCTCTCACTCTGTGGATGACAGATTTAAATGACTTTGCTGAGTCAGTATTAGCTAACATCATTATCGCGGTTTGCGACCAGAGTTTTATCTCGCTTTCAGGCTACAACAAGGCTACAACTTTCGAGCTGCTAGCGGTTTTGTAACAACCGTAGGGTCTCAGCTAAATATAATGTGTTTAGGTCAGACTGAAAATTTTGAGATAGCTATGTCCAGCAGATATATCTCTCTCTTTAAGAGTTTCTTATGTGGCTTTTTCCCTCTATTGAGAGGACAACTTGGTGGATAACATGCGCTGAGTGGCATCTAGGCCAGGAGTCAAACCTGTGATCAAAAATTTAGTACCTGCTTTACCAACTGAGCCCAAACCAGCCCCCCATAGTCTTTTTTCATCCATCCATACAACAGTTAATATATGCCTTTTACATTACCGCACATTAAGGCCCACGTGAAGTTTGCAAGCTCATGCTAGCATTTCTGATTATTTGCATCCATCTGGAACTTTCGTCCTCCACAGCAGTCTTTGTCTTTGTTTTTACTGATGGGCAGTGGCAGCTGGTATATGGAGGACTTCTGCTTTTGAGACATTAATACTATCCTTGCTATACTTGCATCCAACATCACAACTCTACTAGGACTCCTATGCTGAATGACTGCCATGTAATGGCATCGCCTTGAGTTTCATGTTTGCCTCCAGCACCGTGACTTCATCACTGTTGCCCCTAAAAAGTCGATGGACCGGATTTTTACAATATTTAAAATGAAAGTTTGGTGTGTCCAGATGCTAAGGTCTGCAAATTAGCATTGGATGTAGAGTACAGTTGATGAAACAGTCAATATTTTTACAGACTTTAGTCAAAACTTGAGTGAGGGTCAAAGTTTTCACAAGGACAGTAAAGTGTGAACTTAAATTTATTGTTATTCCTTAGTTATGGACTAACAATTAAAAACTGCTAGTGCCAGTTTGCCTTAAGGAGAAAGAAACACAGGCTAAAGCCACATGAGAGGTGATGAACACCAGGCATAATCCAGAAGGTTGCTCAGGTAGGGTCTTTGTGGATGGTCTGGAGACTTGAAAAGGGAAGAGAAGGTACCCTGGGGTAGACTGTCTGAATGAAGGGTATATGTTGTAGTTTTTAAGGTGTTGTAGAAGGACCTAGTAGCTCTAGATGGTGGTCTTGATGCCGGTAATGGGGGGGCAAGAGCAGAAGAATAACCAAGTGTGCAAAGCAGTGCTGAACCTTGAGTCCATTGGGCTTTTCAATGATACGCCAAAGAAACTCAAGATCTAGCTGAATGTCAAGGAAGAGTGCAAGACACTCAAGGCAAAAAATAACTTTTAACTCAAAAGTGACAACCTGAACATGATGTTAAACGGTGGCAGATGCTAAAGAGCTGATCAGGAATTGGGCATTGAGCCAAAGGATTGGCTCATGAAGGCTGAAAGGGAATACTTTAAGCAAGGCGTCTTTGTAAAGCCATATCACAGGGGACCTCTGCAGCAGGGAAACAACAGCACAATGCAGCAAAGGAACTAGTCAATCAATCAGTTTTTATTTATAAAGCTCCTAATCCAGTAGCAAAAGTTATCACAGGACACTCTACAAAAAGCAGGGATTTACTGTATTTTTTTTTAAACTTGTGAAACTGGTGACTGCTGCAGCTTAGGAACAGAGGTAATGCTTTAGCCTTCAGTTAAAATTAGTGCCGCTCAGGAACAGGACCTTGTTGCACTTAGAAACAAACTGGAAACTGCTGGGCTGCAATCTAAGGGAGGGCTAAATACACTTGTTTGACAGGTGAATACACAATTACAACAGGTAATATAACGAAATAAAACTCATAAGCAAAGAAGAAAGATGAGAAATGGCAGTGTTTACCAACTAGTAAGTAACTTTTGTTGAGGTACAGATGGACTTGCATGTTTAAAAACACTGGCTGTGTATGATTTTCTTGTGTGTTTGCTGTGTATCACAGGTGTATTCTTATCTTTGTGTGTATGTGTCTGTATATATGTTTTGTGTGAGTGTCCAATCTCCAGGACATTTGTGATTACCGGCTGCTTGGTGGAGAGGCTTCTCTCATTAACCATCATCACTGCTGATCTTAATGGACCAAACAGAGCAAAAATAGACAGAGCCAGAAAGAGGGCTGCAGCCTTTTAACACCAACAACTGTGCTTATATGTGGGCATGTGGGTGCTGTGTGTGTGTGTGTGTGTGTGTGTGTGTTTGCTTGCACTGAGCTTTTCTCTTCTTTACTGAAAGACTCAAGCACCCCTTATAGTACAGACATGACTCATGATTTTAAGTGAACCTTTTATGTTTCCTGTATCTTTATATTTTGGTCAAAACAGCAAAAATAGGTGAATAAAGCTGTCTGAGTGCTGATTCTGCTCCACGTGGTTTATTGATTAATCAGTAAATGTCATCATTACAGGGCATTTGTTAAAAAAAACTCTTATCGAAAATTACTGTGAAAACAAGTTCAAAACAACATCAGAATAGTCCACACAGAATCCAGATAAGTTACCAAACCAAACCAGTATCTGAAGCTAAGCTTATCTTAGCTTATTTAATTTTTTTTAGATAATACCAAGAACAATTCATCTTTGTTATACGCATAAAAATAAAGCTGAATGTTGCTACAAAAGAGAACTTTCCCTGAGTAAAAAGACACCATCAGTTTATTCCCAAACTGACAACAAATTGCCAGTACAATATTTTAAATAATTTGAAGCCTTTTTTAAAGAATTAACTCAGAAACTCCTCAGCCAGGCTTCATTTATTTGCTCAGTCAAAGGACTTGATTCATTTCCTGTTTCTCTCTCATTACGCTGCAGGCGCTCTGATGACAGACTCTTTTCAAGGCTTTCACAGTTCAGCTTTGGTGACATACGGCTGATTGACACGTGGAAGTCACTTTGCATCAACATCATTAACCTGAAGAACAAACACAGACACACTCACACACACACACAGCTCACATGGACAGAATGTTTTCTCATGTCGTACACCAAGCCCCCCTCTGAGTCCTGGGGCTACGATGAGTTATATATGCAAAAAAAAAGATGCGAATTAAAGAAAAGAATAAACTTAAAGGCTGAGCAGCGAAACTCTTAGAATACTATCACAAAGAGAAAGACGAAATTAAAGATCTTAATTTGCCCTGCTATAAGAAAAGCAATTGTGCACAAAAGAATAAAAGCAGCTGTTCAAATATGATAATTACATTTTTCTTGAAGCAATTTTACGTTTTTATATGGCCAAGTTTTTGTAAAGTGGTGTGAAGATCTTTGTCTGCTTGCTCATTTCAGAGGAAATGAAAGAGTCTCCATGTATGTATCCTATAGTGAGCAGGTGGTTATGTGAAACAGAATCCTTTCATGGTGGACTATAGACTGTATTATTACTGAATGTAGCATCTTTGATGTATTGTACCTGTAGTTAACCATTATGAGACACAGTTAATGTTGCATTGGAAAGTTTTTTAGGTGTTTGTTGTGTTTCCTTAATAGATCCTGGGTCAAATGCCTCTCGCTGGTCACAGGTCAAAGGTAGGTCTAAACGAGATGGTAAAGGGATGTGAATTATAGATTAAGAGATAGAGAACCTGCACTTTTTTACCCTAATATAAGAGGAGTACAAACTAAAGTCTGGGAGATGGACATTATTTGCAATTGTCTACCGGCATTAGCAGTACTGTTTCGTACTGGTGTTGTTTTTTGAAATAAATTTCTATCATACATGCAAGCGAGTGTCACAAAGCCTCTTTCTGCATCTACACATCACGGACAGACGAGATACAACAGATGTAACCAATCTGCTTCTGAGGTAGAGTTTTGAAGCCTGTTACTGATGGTCTTGTTTACTGTTGTAGGCCACATGAAGCACCAGCATCAAACTAAAAAAGAATATTTAACCAGTTTTCCATCACCAGTTGAAGACTCTTGAATCCGGACACTGGACTGGATTCGTCTTGAAATCTCTTGACAACAAGAGCTCATCACTCACCACAGTGCACCTCGACTGAACATATACCTGCTAACACGCACACACACGTCCACATACGTACATACGAAGTTGTTGAGGTCAGCTCTAATGACTTTTACAATTAGCAGCAGGTCTGATTGAGGATGTGTCTCTGTGCTGCGGCGGATCGATAAATCTGCCGGATAAATGACCTGGAGTTTCTGAGGGAGTGAAAGGCCACAGCACAGACTAATCAGCAGCCGCCACCCGCCACAGGGACATCAGCTGCTCTGAGGTTTTAAAAAGGACTCCATTTAAGACCATAGAGGCACATTTTCTTACATGTGAGGTGTACCACAATACTCTCTCTTCTACACATACATGCATGCCTCCTCGGGGAAACTGATTAAAGATACTGCTGCTCCAATGATAGCTTCAAACTTCAACATTTGAACATGAAGTATGTTGAGTTGAACCATCTTATTCTTGTGTTCTGGCCCAATAACAACATGTTAACAATCTTAAATAAGGAGGCCTAGCTAAGTAGAAGTCTGCTAATCATTTTGCGTAAAATTAGAGCCTAGGAAAAAAAAATGTTGGACCACCTCCTGACACTGAAAACAGTAAAATTACACTGGGAATAAAGTATAAAATGTAGTTAGTCTTTAGATGTATGTTCTTCATGTTGGATGCTACTCTGTTAAGATTTAGAAGCAGCTATTTTTAGTGCCTAGTTGCTTTCAAGAGGTTCCTCCCCAAAATACTAAGAACAAGAAGTTTAACCTCTCAAAGTTCATGCATCATCATCTTTAGTTTCAAAAATCAGTTAACTTTTAGGTCTGATCCTATCAAGAGTGAGGTCCTTGCTAGAGTGAATCTGGTGCTTCCTGAGTTTTTTCCATGTCACAGGAGCTGACACATGAGCGAAAGCTGACTGTTTATATGTAATCACAACAAAAAAAACACACCAAGACAAACACTCATGCACAAGGCACACAAAAACTCGGCCATGTGAGAGAGATAAATGGGTCATCCTGCAAATGTCAGAGGTAACTATCAAATGTTAGTGTTGCTATTTGCAGCTATGAGATGAGTGGTGACTGGTGCAGGAAAAAAGCTGCTTCATAGGAAGACTGGCTGATGTTTTGATTTTACCATGGGAAGAATTTTTTGACAGACTGTATTTTTGATTGTGTTTTCTGAAGATCAAATCTTATCCTCAGTGATCAAAAGTGATTTTTAAATGGTAGAATGGACTTGAATAGCGTGTTTCTAGTCTTTCAGACCACTCAAAGAGCCTTTATGCTCATCACATTCACCCATTCACTTAAAATTCATACGCTGATAGCAGAAGATTCAAAGTCTGTGCCTCCTCTTTCTCCAAACTGATCAAATGTCTAAACCATGAACAAAACCATCAGAACAGCCACAGCCTTATGAAGAAATACATGAAGCTACTAAAGAATCATTCAAACCTCCAGATAACACAGCTTTTATATTTTTAGTACTGAGAAAATCTAAAATGAAAGAGTAAAATTGAAATACAAATGTCCACTATTTTCTTTTAAATTAAGAAATTCTCTGAAACCAAGGGCTGTGAGAAATGCAACAGTGAAGTGAGACTCTTCCCCATTATGGTGGGAAGAGGAGCTTGGTAGAAGGAAAACAATACTGCCCTCTGGTGAAGAAAAACTGCACTGTTTAGCAATGGAGACAGAACAGGGATTCTGCTCATCAAAAGCTTTGCAAAATCAATCTTTGCAGAAGTTATTTCTAAAAGCCAAAATAAATAAACTTAAGAGCAATTCTGGTCTGATCTTTGCATTTGAGTCTTGAGTGCAGTCATCAGAGGAAAACACCAACCATGCAGTGTGTGATATACCGAGGTTGGCCTGTCGGAATGAGTTTGCAAAAAAAGGTTTAGAAATGCACATAAACCACTTTTTTAATACAAAGAAATATATTTTGATAGAGCTTTTCTTGTCTTCCATCACATTTCTTTCTTCTACATCAACATTATTCTTTTATTTCTAATTTAACTCGGTATTTTAGAAAATTGCTGTAAAACAGATATTTTCCTCTTCTTCCTTAACCCTTCAAGTCTCAAGCTTCACATGAGAAGCTATTTTCCCTGAAACTTCAATTTGCAGTCAGCAGGAAAAATAACCACAAAAACACAGGATAAGTTTTAGAAAAGGTATATTTACAAGAAATACAGTAAATATTAACATTAAAGACCACCTGAGGATCAACATTTATTTCCAAAACAACAAATAAAAACCATTTTATTAAAATGTAGCATATTTACATCCATTTCATTTTAAAACTCAGTAAAACTGTACAATTTGTTTTCTTTTGGGTTTGTCGCTTACAGGCGACATTTTTCAGTGAAATGACACTCTCTGGTTGATTATACCAGCAGTGTTTGAAGTGCTTCAGTCATATTTATTCTGTTGGCTCGAGCCAGAGTTTGTAACAGTTTCTTCCTACAGGCACACGCAGGTGCCACTCCCAGCCAAGCTTGTGCAAAAACTTTCCCAGCTGTCTGAGCCATGGAGGGAAAGACTGCCCCATCCAGTTAAAACAGTCAGTGATTAAAACTTCATTAAAGCCTCCTCACAGGCGCCGGATGTTCCTCTTGCTGCGAGCACTGCCTGGTAAGATCTGAGTTGATCTGGAGGAAGTGAGGTGGGATCTGGGCTGCACCTCTCTGCAGGGGGTTGAGCCGTGGAAACTCTGCTGACAGCGAGTGCAGAAGTCAAACTGGCAGCTGGGGCGAGTGCACGTAGCTCTGCGAGCTTCGGCTGAGTATGTGGATGGTGAGCCGCAACATTTGCAGGAACGTAGAGACTCATGCTGCTTAAGAGTGTTGGCAGCCTGGACAAAGGAGGAAAACAAATCTGTTAACTAGAGGAAAGACTTGATGCAGTGTATGCATTGGAGTTGGCAAAAAAAAAAAAAAAAAAGAAAAATCTCAGTCCACAGATGACTTTGTATTTGAATCATAATAGCACATCTTTGACAATGAAAAGACCAAAATATCCACAGGGAGATAATTTACTGGTTTAGTCCATCAAGAAATACTCTGCATGCTCTTTGCAGCACCAATATGCACACTAAAGCTCACCTGCACATAATCATTGAAGCGTGTACACTTGGAGTCAGGTGTGCTGCCCTTCTGCGAAGACGCTGCCTGTCTGGTGGCTCTGCTGCTCGTTGAAGACGAAGATGATGGTGAGGCCAGGGTCTGCATGCTGGACAGCACCAGCCTGGACACAGCCACATCTCTGGTTAGACCACAGCCCTTCTCTGAGGGACAGCCCTGTGACTCCTGAAAGAGAATAAAAAGGGATCTTTAACATGAAGAACGTGTGGTACAACTTTCAGACAAACACCTTCAAACCAAGATTTAAGCAGTGCAGTATTCCACTTTGTGACATCTAAAAGACTAAACTGTAAGGTTTGAACACCATATGCATCCGCTTATGTAGCAGAAAGGTGGCAGTGGTTAAATGAAAAGAGCTCAAGCTTGTTAAGAATCTCAATCATCAGTTAAGTCAACAAATTTTGTAGTGTTGTTCTGGATCGAGTGTGTGTGTGTTGTAGTAGTTGATCTTCTTACCTCAGCTGCCTGCTTGACTTTCTGACACCTGCTTAGAGAGGCTGTGTCCTCAGAGATGATCTTTCTCCATGTTCTGCTCACCTTCTTACACCTTTGAATCAAGACCACGAGAAAAGAATGAGAAACTGAAAAGAAGGTAGAATTGTGGACACATTTCTACATTAATTTTCCAGGTAAAATTGTAAATCTATAAATTTTCACATTATTTTGGACATGTAAGCATCCCACTTCCCATGTTTATTGTTTTTTCATGAAAGCGGTGGAGGCAGTAAATATTAGCCTTTAGTTATACTGTATAACTTGCCTTGTTGATCACAAGGTTTCTTGTTGATTTAATTAGTCTCAATTGGTCAACCTTAACCATGTTTAGAGATCTATAGATATGCTCGATTTCATACAAGTACGAAACCCCTCATAGATCAGAACTTTTTTGACTACCTGATGAGATCCATGTCACTCAGCATGGCCAGGATCTTGGTCAAGAGGCTCCTCATGTTCCTGGACAGCAGAGCTGAAAACACATCAACAAACTCCAGGCCCATCTGCCCTCCAATCACTCGATCCAAGAGGTGATCCTCCGCTACCTGTGAGGGAATGCTCCAGTCGTACCTGAAACACAAGGATACAATTTTTATTTACTTAGTACAGAAACGCAAGTGTGGGTGTATTTCGTTCACCTAATAGGAATTTAGATTCAACACTATTTGACAAAAAAAAAAAAAAACTTTTGTGAATATATTTAAAATGCTCAAGTAGAATTTTTTATTTTTATTATTCTGCTTCTTGATTACCCACAGTGTAAAACTCACATTTTCTTTTCTATTTTGGCAGCTATTAAGACCCCAAAGAAGGATGTATTCCTACCTTTTATTTTTCTGATAGCTCTTGGCAAGCTGTTCACACACAGCCCGCTGGAACTTCAGTATTGGCAGGTTGGGGTCAGCCTGGTTGTCTTTTGGTGTGGATGATAGTGAGTATGTGGTTGCTCTCCTCTGACAGTCCACTGGAGTGGACGGTGCCACCCTAGCCACTGAACGGCTACTTCGAAGCAGACATTTGGAGGGAGATTTCTTTGGCGATACTGTCTTTTTATTCGGTGAAGCAGCATTAGAAAGCAAGGTTGTTGGTTTCTCCTGGATGTGGTCCTCTTCCTCCCCATGATGATCATTAATCTGACTGTTATGCAAAGACAAATAACCACTATCCTCAAACACTTCATCATCTGAGGATCTGTCATGCTCCTTGTTGGTGCTGTTTTCCTTGTTGTGGACTGCTCTGGAGTTGTTGTTGAGCGAGAACAACACAGTGGTCAGTCCTGCAGGTGGACCCTGAGGTTTGATGGGTGGGGGCTCTTTCACGGGGGAGGCTTTGAAGTGAAGCATCTTGGCTTCTGTAGCATAGCTTTTCTCCATATTGCTCACTTTTGGAGCCTCGTAGCTGGGGCATTTCATGATGACTTTCTTCCAGTGAAACATGTACACCGTGCAGTGTGTGGATTTCTAGATAGAAAGACAAACCAGGAGATGAAATCAAGATTAATCCGTTTTCGTAGTAGCCGAGCCAGCTAACATGGCTCCTGTAAGCAAACTTAGCAATGTTACCTCAATCAGACAACACAAGTGGACTGCCTCAAGTTTAACATACACATAACATATGGTTAAGTCTGCATTAAAGTGGTAAAGCACATTTTGAAGGGGGTGTAATTCTTCTCCGCCGAACACTTTTCTCTATTTAAACCGATTTTGGCGCGATGAGATTTGGCGCAAAGGCAACAGTGACGTGAACACTCACAGACAAGCAGCTTCAGTTTACAGACTTTAAATGCATCTATTTTAGGAAGTGTTTGACTGTGATAGAACTGCCTTGAAGTCATTATCCGATGTACATATCTGAATAAATGTTACTTTTCAGAAAGCACCCGCTAACATTACAGAGCTGCATTTGCGCGCCTACAGTGCAGAATTGAACAAACTGAAGTAAATCCCGAATTAGACGAACAAGTCCCCGAGTAAGTACTACAGAAACACACTGAAATAATAATGTACTCTGAAATTCATCTCTGTTTAAGTTTACTTCGTGAAGACAGTCCGTCGACTAACAGTTTACCCGTGTAGTGCTCTCGTTAGCACTTTGCTGAGAGAACCGTTAGATTCAGCAGTAAGCACTCGAAGGTTAAAGAAGCTTACCTTAGGTTTTTGTGTAAATATCGTTATCCATACACTTTTGCTTCCCTCCTTTTGGCGGTCGAGCTAACTTTCGTCTCGTATACGACCGCTCTGGCTGAATTAAATGCTCTCTCCTTCAGAAAATCCGCCAGTTGGTGCTGGTCGTTTGAAATACGTGCGCAAAATGCACGAGCCAATGAGAGAAAGGTGGGCGTTTGTCCCTTTAAAACACCAACCAATGGATAAGCGGCAGAGCTGTGACGCCATCACGCAGTGGACGTTGTACGACTGGTATTTCCCTCCTGAATGTTACCGCATACAGCAGGGGTGGGCAATCGTCAATCGTGTGCCATGGAGGGCCGAGGGGCTGCAGGTTTTCTTTCCCACCTAAAACTCCACTAGGTGATTTCACTGATTTGTCCCTGCTCTCTGCTTGGAGGTAAGGTAATAAGTGAAATCTCCTGGTGGAGTATTAGGTGGGAAAGAAAACCTGCAGCCTCTCGGCCCTCCATGGCATACAGTAACAGACATACAGGTAGGGGGACAGCGGGGTAAGATGAGCCATTCTTCATATTTCGGATCACTACACCAAGGCAATCCTAGTTTTGTCTCTTAACTAGTGTATCTGCATATATTTCAAGATATTGTGTATCCCTGCAAACCAACAAAATGAATGTAAACATAAATGTTTAGATAATATAGCATGCCAAAAAAAGTGGTCTCCCATCTATTTTTTCATTAAATCACATATCAAACATTCTGAACAGGGGCTGAGGATGGTGTGGCTGGTTCCGTCATTGTTTTACACTTGATATGTAAATCCTGCTCTATATGTAGTTTCTGAAAAGACTAGAGAATAAAAATAGTTGGCTTGACTGGGGTGATATATAATTGGGTTTGGATGCAAAATTTTCCATTTCACTGTCATTATTTTGCAAATAGGTGTTGGATAAGAAGAAACACTATTTTCTTCTGTTTCTGGTTGCATCACAGGAGGATCTTGAGACCAGACCAACTCATGTATGTTTAATGGGACTCATAGGAAAAGAAAGAGAGAGGGAGACGACAGAGAAAGAGAGAGCATTTCTACAGGAATAAAAATCTGTTTTCAGTTCTTTCAGGAATCTCAGTGTTTGAAAGAAGAATGAGAAGACCTCCATAGGACACGTTCACGCCTCTGCATGGAATGTGAGAAGAGGCTCTTTCATTGAAACCAGACAGGAGAATGTGGGGGGATGTGTTTTAAAGGAAAAGGTTTTGACACCGAATCACATTTGAACACTTTAAATGTATAAACAAGAGGATAAAAAGTTCACCACTGTCATATCAAAATGTTTTCTTGCACATTCTCTCATTGCAAGTATAAAGACACAGCACAAGAACTGATTTAGGCTGGTGTGAGAAAAGTAGGGACACAGTGGGAGGGTTTTGTATGCAAGGGTTGGGTTGGGTCACCTCCTGAGCTTTGTCATATGGATATCAGAGTGCGTAATCCTTGTTTGATGGTGATCCCAGCAGTAGTCCCATGTCCAACAAACAAAACAATATACATACAACTCTACTTGGATATTTTAAATTTTAATTCCAGGGCAGCAAAAGTACAAAGGGTCAATGCCATGTGAATAAATGCCTGTGGTTAAACCATTTTTAAACACTCCTTCAGTAGATGGTGGTGGTAATGCACCAACATGATGGATGTCAAATAGCAAAATTTTAGATAGGTTCAGGTTATGGTCAGGGGACATCACCAGGAATTCTTGGCCCTGAGAAAAGAGATTACAGTGAACCCCACTACCACAGCCCAATTTCTATCACTATGAATTTGAAAGGTTAGGGTTATGACCTATTAAAGATGAAAGAAGAACAACTTTGAGTAACTCCATGAAAATTTGAGATCATCTTAGGCTACTGTGTGTTTTAAATTTGACTGTAGTTTTAAAGGCAAACATGTCAATGTATCTAGTGCTGACATCTATGATATGTGTGCATATAAAAAGCATCTGTGCCTTTCTTTTGGTTGTGGTATTTACTCATCAACATAACTGCCTGGTGATTACCAGATTGTGCAGTTACAAAAAAGTCTCATCAAGGCTTCCTAGAATTGCAGCCCTTACACCACAATCATCAGGGCTGCAGACACAGGAGAGGGGATGGTGAATTATGATAAGAAAAGGGTTAATCAAAAAAAAAAAAAAAATGAGAGGCCCACAAACCAGATTACGGATCTGCAGACACATAGCTACTCGTGCTCCAATCCAGTTGGTGGCGGTAAAGCACCTCTGAACTGGTTTGCTCAACTCCACTGAACCAAAAAGAAGAGGCAACATGTCTGCGCCCTGAAACAAGGTGGTGAAGATTCATAATTTTGAAAACGGCCATCAACTACCGTAAACAACGCATAATTCGGGACATTACGAGTAAAACCCTGCATATTCTACCTTAAACGATGTGTTTGGTAACGGGAATCAGTCGTAGCCTATAACTTCGCGATGACTAAGCTGATTATTTTTTATTTTCTTTAGTTTTTAAGTTAGAAACCAAGCCCTGTAAATCGATTTTCCTTGTTCGGTTGTGTTGTCATCTCCGACATAACCACCACGATCCATTTACAGTAGCTGCTGTTACTGCTTAATATTTAGATAAAAAAAGAGTAGATTTAGTATTGAAGTCATGTCGAAATCAGAAGTGCATTTGATGCTAAAATGTTTCTTGTAGTCTAGAGAGGAGGCAGAACCTGGTAATATCAAAGTCGTATAGTTGTGTCAAAATCTGCCAAAATGATGGCATATAGAAGAGCCTTAAACCTCCTTCCAAAAGGAAAGAAGTGTGTCTTAAGTCTGTGGAAACCTTATTTACAAAAGTCACCATGTTTCAGTGGTCAACAACACCTCAATAATCAATGTGACCGAGCTTTAAGACCTCTCCACACTTGCACAACATTGATGGCTGCCAAGCTCCTGACAGTGGAGGAGCTTTTTGCCAAGGAGTCTCTGCAGAAATACCTGCAGAAGAAGGTGGAAGAATACAGTGAATGTTCAAGAGAACTCAACAGCAACGTGACAGACCAGCAATGCAACCAGGATGACCTGAGGGCCAAGAGGACTAAAGTGTCCCAGCTGACTCCTCTTATTCAGAGCATCAGCGAACTTGAAATCAAACAAAGAGAGATGGCTGAGACTGAGGCACTGCTAAAGGGTATTGGTTAATCTTCAGCTTCTACAGTGAAGGTAAGAGAGTTTGGTTGAACATGTCTCATAAATATCTATCTACTGTTGTTTTTCCTCCAAGATGAAGATCCATCCCTGAGAGAACTGGCAGAGCTGGAAAGAGAAAGCTGTTTGCAAGATATTCAAGATCTCAGTCAAAAGGTAGAACAACGTTTTTGTGGTGCATTATTTTATTATTTTAGGCTTACAATGACTAAATTATGATTATGAACTATTTGAAAATGTTTTTATTTGCACTGCTTTAGTTAGCAAGTTGCACTCCAGATTTGGTTCCTCCTACATCTCATCCATCTTATCAGCCTTTCTGTTCAATCAATATGCATCACCAATCAGATCCTTGAGCTGGTAATCCCTGAGGAGGAGGAGGATCTGAACGACCTTGTGCTGGAGGTTATGGCTGGTGTCGGGGGCCAGGAGGCCATGCTCTTTACTGCAGAGGTAGGGATATGTATTTCAGAAATTGCAACAAATCTCAAAGATATGCACCAGCCTTTATTGACCAAGTATGTGTACACATTCAAGGTACTGACTCAGGAAAACTTTGCTCTTTATGTACAATATTAAATATGAAATATTACAAAAATAAAAAATACAAAAATTACAGAAAATACAAAGTATGTACAAATCGAAATAGACATTGAATGTGGGGAAAAACATGCATGTCATGACATAACAGGTGGGTTATGTACATGAGTAAAATACACGTCGTGTTTCTACAGTATTAACATTAAAAAATAGATAGCTTCCTCATCTTTCTTCAAAATCATCACTGCTGACAGAAGCATGCACATGGCTGTAAACATGGAGCTAAGACAAACAGACGGACTCATGATTTATTCTGTTGTTTTGGCATACCTGATTTAGCTGTATGATTCACTATTATGCCAACATCAGGTACAAGGAGCGTATATCGAAACAGGTCACCAATAGGAACCGAAGGGTGAACTAAGAGGCATTGTGAAAGTGACCCGGAGACAAAACAACATATTCTGTGTATTTAAAAGCTGATTTGTTTCCTCTTCTTTGTAGGTGTTTGACATGTACCAGGGCTTTGCTCAGTACCATGGCTGGTCCTTTGACATCTTGGAGTACATAACAAGTGAACAAGGTCAGTGGGCACAGACGTGGGATTTTGGCCACATTAAAGAGTCGGTTCACCAGAAAGCATGACAAGACATACACCCAAATTTCTTCTCCTCCAGTGCATTGGGTGGGAAAAATCAGAGTGGTCGATGTCTAAAAAAACTCCACAAATAAAATGGACACTATGTTCATGTGAATAGGAAAGGCTTAGATAGATGATACCATCTTCTCTTTGCTAATGATGCTGGATGTTTTGATTTTAATAACAGCTTTAACTCTGTAAAAAATATGCCTTCAGAAGAGCTTTGGAGACTTGAACCTGGGTCATCTTTTGGTGGAATTTTTGCTGTTGAAAAGGATATAAAGATGCATCATTCATACTTTTATTTTTATTTTACAATTTACTCATTTGGGAAATTCGATGCCATGTCCAGGGATGGAATGGTAGTTGGAGAAAGCTATTTATGTACACAAAAATGCCATCTATATATAGTCAGTCATGTAATAGCTTACTCCAAACACAAGAGGGAGTCCTGTCTTTCAGGTAGCTTGCCATCAGAAAAAAAAAAGAATATTTTTTTATATCACTGTCATTACAAGTGAAAATAACATTTGAATGGGCTCTCTTCTTCCTCTCCTGTGACCAGGTGGAGTTCGTCATGCCTCAGCCAGCATTAGTGGCTCTCGGTGCTACAAAAGGATGAAATTTGAGGCTGGAGTCCATCGAGTTCAGAGGGTCCCCAAGACTGAGAGGCAAGGCAGAACGCACACCAGCACCATGACTGCGGCTGTGCTGCCTCAGCCCACTGAGGTACTGCTACAGCTACAGCTTAGAATAAATTTAAATTTTACAACATTTTTCTAAATTCAGTTGTTTTTCCATTTATAATTACAGATAGGGCGTGTATCTTTGTTTTTCAGCATATCTGATGTTACTTGAGGTGTTTACTAATTATAAGTGTTTGTGTTCTGGCTAGATCTCTTTCACAATAAATCCAAAGGACCTGAGGATAGACACAATGAGAGCAAGTGGAGCTGGAGGTCAACATGTTAACACCACAGACAGTGCAGTCAGAATAGTCCACCTACCAACAGGTAAAATGGACTGGGTTTCCAATTGGCTGCACATGGAGAAACACTTTCATGTGCTAACACTTCAATGGGTGCTGCATTCCTGTTCTACTTCTTTGTCCTCTTGTGATAATTATTGGATTTTAAGGCTGTATAAATATCAGCATGTATATTTTAAATAGCTATAGGAAAATAAGCCCTTTTTGTAGCAGTTGAATTTGGTTTCCATTTCTACAGAGTCAAATATCACAGCTTTCCAAAGTAAAATAAGGGAAACTTGAAGTGAATGAGTTGTGCATTAATCCATGTGTGTGCTTGTTAGGCGTGGTCGCAGAGTGCCAGCAGGAACGATCTCAGATAAAGAATAAGGAGAAAGCCATGAAGTCTCTGAGAGCGAAACTTTACACCATGAAGTTAGAGGAGGAGACCAGCAAACGCTACAACCAGCGTAAAATACAGGTGAGTTATCAGCAATATCGAGCAGTTTATATGTGAACACATCAATGATTGTTTTGTGTATTTTTGTCTCCCTCCACCTTTATTTTTGGGTGAAACTAATCTTAATTAATAAGCCATTTGGAAATAAATTGACACATTTCTTTAAAGGTTCACACACTTGGAGTTCAAGTTTTTTGTATCTTACATCTAAAATACTTCAAAAAACAGCAATAACAAAGTGATTTATTTAGAATTAAAGTAAAACACACTGGTCCACATGAAAAAAAGTAAAAGAGCAGGAGTAACTTACTTTTCTAACCGTTCTCTTTTCCTCTTTTCCACTTCTTCAGATCGGCACCAAAGGCAGATCAGAAAAGATTCGAACTTATAACTTTTCCCAGGATCGTGTAACAGACCACCGGATTGGCATGACATCGCATGACGTTAAGAGCTTCCTGCTGGGGGAGGAGCTGCTGGATGAGATGAACTCCTCGCTGCAGGAGTTTTCCAACCAGGAGATGTTGATAGAACTGCTGGAAGAAAACGACCAGAGCGGTTCTTAGGTTGTGCTCTGAGAAAAAGGATTCTAACGGGATTTAAACTTCTTGCCACCTATTGGCCATTGTTGATCAGTCTTTCTCTGCCTTGCATCCTTTAGGAAAAACCCGAGGCAAAGGACCATGATAGGTTTAAGAGGGAAGACTGAGGACAGATGCTTCTACTTACCCATGTCATTATTGTTCTAAAAGACATGACAAGCTTTTTTTCCCATTAGAGACAGTATTTAACTTGTAAAATTCATGCTCATTTAAAATCAGTAGTGTGTGTTTTCATGGTTTGAAGAGTCACACTAAAACAAATGGGGACTGCAACATATTGCTCCTACAAGTGACTGTAAGACATCTTGTATCAACCCATGGCATGTTTTTGTCACTCTGGGGGGCATTCCCTTGTTGTTTTGATACAACACAGATTATCTTGCACTCAAGAAGTAAATGCGCTGATAAAGGACCAACAAAAGCCTGAATTATATGTAGTCCTTAAGGTGTTGGTGCAAGGCTCAGCACTAACCAGTCAAGTTTTTCCTCACCAAACTGGAAAAACTGTGTTGTATAAACTGGTTTGGGTTTTGGGGGGTGTTTAATTTAATGTTAAAGTTTAAAAAATGGCACATTTAAAGGGCTGGTGTCTTAATCGTTGTGTATGGCTGGCATTAATCATTAGTGGGGCAACCTATTTATCTGCAGATAGTTTTCTTGAATAACTCTACCAAAATCTAAATAGACTTTCCCCCTCTCGCATGTAAACACTTGCTGATGTGTTTGTCCTCCACAACTGAAATGTAATATGTTTGGGTTGGGGCTGTTGTTCGTGCAAACAAAAAGGGGGAGATGTGGGAATATTACGCTTACAGTCATTCATAATGGACCAGTTTGTTGATCAAATTGGCGGTTTCCCGGTATGATAGCTTTGTATGTTGTAAAATTTGTTTTCCAGTCATCATTTACGGTGGCTGAGAACTGCCACTGCTGCAAATGAAAAAAGGAAGCCACAATGGAGGTTACCGATGCCAAAAAAGAAGAAACCAAAGCCTGTTGCAAATAAAAAAGAAAAGGTGCAGATTAAAAAAAAAAAAAAAGCCACAACAGAAGTTAACGACGCAAAAGAAAAAAATAGTTACTAACTGCAAAAATAAAACGTTGCATATAAAAAAGCCACAATGGAAGTGTAAATAATGATGATGCACCAGTGTTTACAATCTAGGCACAGAAGACGAAAAGACGAGCAAAGAAGTAAGAGGAAAGGTTGTTGTTTAATTTCGCTTAGTATGCTTTTCAATGTGGTTAGGCCATGTTGCGCCTGAGTCGATATGAAGTTGATTGGTGGATGCTAGTGTAGTGTTAGCTTCAGTTCAACCTCATATCGACTCAAGCGCAACACTGCCAAACCAAATGACACACTGAAAAGCACACGAAGCGAAATTAAACAATTACCTTTCCACTTTTTTGCTTGTCTTCTCGCCGTAGTCTTCTGTGCCTAGATCATAAAACACCTGTGCATCATCATTAATGGTCCCCGGCAGCTCACTTCCATTATGGCTTTTATTTTCGCAGTAAGTAACTTTTTTTTTGGCATTCTATTTCTTTGTGTTGTTAACTTCTATTGTGGCTTTTTTCTTTTTATCTGCACGTTTCCTTTTTTTGCTTCAGTAACTTCCGTTGTGACTTCCTTTTTTTGCATTTATTTTTACTTGCCGCAGTGGCGGTTCTTAGCCACCGTAGCGCTTTATACTCTAGAAAGAAGTTGGCGAGTTGACAAATTCACTTTCACTTTTTCACTTAAAGAACTACCTTACCCATAATGCTCGGTGCACCAAGAATGATTAATCGAACGTTGATTCATCGTTCTGCCCTGCTCGCCCACTCAAACCGTCCAATTTTCTCCCGGCGGTCGCATCCTGCCTCTGCCTGGCTGTTGTTGCGCTACCGTTAGCTAACCTATAAGGGAGTAGCAAGTCATTCCAACGAAGCAAATAATGTTCGTTACACCTCAGTATTTTTATTGAAGTCTGGAGAAAAATGAATTGCGATTTTTTTTCCGCGCCAAAATACTCTGGTAATGCTAAAAAACCGCTGTAATGTCAGTTTTTCTCTCTGACCTCGGTAGCTGTTTAGGTTTAGCAGTCAGCCCGTTTTGACAAGCGAGTGGTTGATGTGTCCGCCGCTGCTGCTGCTGCTCTGACGGGGGGAGGATTTGGACAAAGCCAGTCAGATGTTGGACGGTACAAATATCTTAGGAACTCTGTCATTTATGCGCCCTGTCGTTGAAGTGAATTATCAAGCCGACCATTTATCGTGAAAGTGCCTGGAATAAGGGGAGGAGTGAGGTCTATTTTTGGAGGGCGAGAGTTTGGATCCCGCACCGAAGGAAGGAAGGAAGGGGGGCAGGGGGTGCGCGGAAAAGGACGACCAGCAGAGCAAAAAGGGACATAAGGGGAGAAAATCCTGATGCCAGTGATGGCAAACGAGCCGATCATCCTGAACGTTTATGATATGGTGAGTAGAAAAGAAGATCCGTGTTTACAAAGCTAATATTGATGTTTTATCACTTCTGTACTACTTTACCTAAGGACTAAGGTCCAGTTAGCTATGAGCTATGTCAGCAGTGTAAGGACGGAGAGCCAAACTCTGTAGAAAAAAAGGCGATTTTTTTGCTTCTTTAGATTTAAAAGCATATCAAAAAGTAAATTCAAAGATTAGACATTTATTTACAAGTTGATAAGGCCAATCTCAATTCGTCTAACGTTCAGTTCTGTGAACTAACCCAGTCATGTCACAAACACACTTTTTGAAATGGGTTCATTTGTCTCTCTCAGCTGGTCGTCGAGCGGCAGCAGATTCCCAATATGCCTTTAAATATAAAGGGATTTGGCGAAGAGTGTTCTTTATTAGACATTGTTTGAAACCAGTTAGCTAGTTTAGTGCAACACATTATGTAGTACCAAAAGACGCCCCTGAAACGGTTTTTAAATGGAGCCAGGTATAGAAGCAGCAATGACAGCAGACATCATCCTGTAAGCCATACTCTGACTCATAAGCGCATAAGCTCACAGTGAGAGATCTTGATAATGTTTGACTATCATATTAGGAGTGGAGTAAAAGTTGTCTTTACACTTGTTAAGTTGATGCTGTGAAAACCTGAACAGTGATGAGTAAAACACGGTGACCCAAGAGGTCAAACCCACAGAAGTCTTCCTTTATATCCATCTAATCTGTCTCAGTCTGCGAAAAAGTAGTGTAATCAGTAGTGTGTGTTTTCATGGTTTGAAGAGTCACACTAAAACATGTGGGGACTGCAACATATTGCTCCTACAAGTGACTGTAAGACATCTTATATCAACCCTTGGCATGTTTTTGTCACTCTGGGGAGCATTCCCTTGTTGTTTTGATACAACACAGATTATCTTACACTCAAGAAGTATCCGCGCTGACAAGGGACCAACAAAAGCCTGAATTATATGTAGTCCTAATCTGTCTCAGTCTGTGAAAAGCCGTTTAAAGAGAACTTACAAAAACGAAATTAAGGGAAAATGGGAAAACTTTTAACTCAAATCAAACTGTCTGTTTCATTTCTACTGGAGGGGAGGATGTTCGTCTCTTTGTTGTGGAATGAGGCAGGATTTGAGTCACTGATGTAGTCACCATGTCGGAGTGAGTCAGTGGGACCGGAGAAAAGGGGAGGCTGGAAATTGACTGGTCTGTTGATGAATCATTGATTGATTTGAAGCCCCAGGGGGAGAGAGAGAGACTATGCTCAAAATGGGAATTGTCTTGTTGAAGGGGGGGTTATAAAACAGACAGAGACAAGGATAATGTACATGAACACCCCTATATACTTTCCATAAATGTATATCAAAGCCTGTCTCCCACTAGAGGAAATCCTATTGTTTTTGTCTCTGTTATCTTTCTTTAGCTTATAGTTCACAAGACATCAAGAGAAAATTGTATTTCTGACCTTTGAGGGCTAAAGAAGTGTCTTATCTACAGCAGCACACCACAGTGTGAAATCAGGACTTGGCTTTGATAGGCACACTTCCTCCTACTCAAACTTGCTTCCATAATTACTCGACTTGTTCCATCCTTCCTGCCTGGCTTCCTTCCCTCCTCATTTATCCCTTTTTGCTCCACTGAATTTCTGTCGCGGCTCTTCCCTGCCTGCTTTCCTGTTATCCTTTCCTTGCCCCCTTTTCTCTTCCTCACCTCCTCATGTCTTTCACTTGACTTGTAGTACACATTAGTTTCTGTTCATAGAGCCCTGAGTAGCTTTTATCGCTGTCACACTTCCATTCATGTGAACTGCTGCAGGCGCATTGGCATACTTTCACATGCAAAAGGCTCAGATAAGTTTCATATATTTCACACACAGAGAGTTACATGAAATTTGTTAGGGGGGGGTATCTTTCACTAACTGATGTCACTGTTGTCACATCAGGGTTTTATCATTCCTGCTTGTGCATGCGGACAGATTCAATCACACCCATGCATATTTTGATGTTTGTTTCTTTTTTCAGTGGGCTACTGTGAGAACATGATTTTGGCTTGCTTACAGCAGCTCCTCTAGAGCTCATTGAAAAAAAGCAGGATCACAGAGTCCATTCATCCACTCTACTACTTTAAACACTTCCTCTGTGTATTGATTGGGTGCTGTAGAAAAAGTGACTGACAGACTGACTGCTAGGGTTCGCCACTGCGTGATGATCAGTGACTGAATTTTTCTGTTAAGCTGACTGAATTACACAAATAAAAACTACCATTAATTATTTGATAACAATTACAGTGAAGATGTGCTCTATCAATAAAAAACATAGTGGTCTGTAAATGTCATTTTAAAGCTCCTGTTTGTACTGGTTATAACACAATGAAGTTGAAACTGAAGCTGCAAAAGAAAACATCAGCAACAAGACTGACCATGTCTTTACATGTCTTTTTTTATGCCTTTAACCTCTGCAAGGTGTCAGTCCACAGTTGAGAAATGCTATGTAAAATTTTTCACACATTTTACAAACAGAATAAAATAAAACAACCAAACTAAAGGCTCGGAGCAAAGCTAATCACTACCTGGCTTAAAGTTCACGCGCTGATATGACACAGGGTCAGTTCCTCCTCCTTCTTCATTAGAACTAATTCTATGACCAGGCTTGCTAATATAAGGCTGAGGCTTCATTAGTTTGTCCAACAAAGACCTGTGATGACACTTTAATAGTGAATAGTTTCTGCTCAACCCTTCTTGATCAAAATTTCTTCAAAGAAATCTCTAATAAAATTTATATTTAGTTTTATTTGAATGATTTTTGTATAAAAAGAAATTTCCAGCTCTGACCAGATTTGAATGAATCCCACAAATATCAAACAGTCCCTGATGTCACTTTAGATAATATATATTTTTTACCTTACCAGAATTTAAGGGACTTTTGAAATATCACTGAGTCAGAGGCGTAGATTTTAGTTGCTTTAGAGATTGTGAAAGGGAAGAGAAAAGCCCAGATTGAATATGCAATACCTGCAACCTCTTTGGCTCAGCAAAGCATATTTGACAGTGTCTATTAAGCTGTATGTTACAGCTTAATGGCAACAAATTTCCATCTTAATCAGTGCAAGGTAAAGATTGCTTCTGCATTGAAAAGATGATTTTCATTCATGTTTTTTTAATTTTCAAAGCCAACAATGACATTTGAGATGTCCTGTGTTGCCTGCGTACTGGTCCACAACTTGACTTATCCCATTTTACAAATACCAGTAAAAGCATTGAACCCTGATGACTTAAATTACACCTTCAAACAAACCCCATTTGTATCAACTGTAAAAAATGACTAATTGACTTTTTGTCCTCATGCTGCACACTGTTCCAAATTTTGGAACATTTACAGTCATCTACAAAAAGACATTACTAAAGAAGTCAGAATGAACTTCTCTCAGAGATGACTCAACTTCGAGGTCTTGCTGAAAGGAAAAAAAAGGGAGACTTTCTATCCAAACAGGACAATATTTATTGACTAAATAACTGGTTGGGTAACTAGTTCGGTGACTGTCTCAAGGAAAGTCCATGAAGTGTAAAAATCTGATATGGGTAGAGGTCAAGAAGCATTGCAGGATGAACAGACAAATTCCTGTTTTTTCCCTGTTAGGATCAATACTGTCACATGACTTACTGGAATAACTGACACCAGGACATACCTCTCCCCTCTCCCCACAGCCATCCATTCTCCTTCCACTTCTCCCATTCAGTTAGTTCCTCCAGGCCGTCTTGCTCCCATCTCTGCTAAGTGGATTTCCTGGCCAGCTTTGAGTGCTTTAGTGAGATGCCCTAATGAGACGGCATTATCTGCACACTGCCTGCCAGCCAGCACTGAAGGCTGCTGTTGTGTCTGTGTGTATTTAGTATCAGAGAAAGTATCAGGGTAATACGTTTAACGGCAACTAGTAGCAAGGTACTCAACAGAGTATATGTGTGGCTGCAGTGGATCAATTCATCAACCCAGTTTTTCTGCTGTCTGGTTTACACAGTGCAGGTTACTCAGACTAAACAGAAAATGAGTTAGAGGAGCGCAGTGATTTTTCTGGGATATCCCAGCACCCACTGCCAGTGCAGTGTAATGTGGAAAAAAGGGTTGGAGCCATTGCATGTTTAATGCCAGAGATAAAACACACAGCAGAAAGAGATACTCAACAGATGCTCAAATATGAATGTAGGTTAGGTGTGCAGTGAGGCTGTAATCACTTCAGTATTCCTGATAGATTTTGGTTGCTTTATTGTGGGCAGTGCTGAAAGTTTGATAGATTGTACTACTAGTATTTTGTGAAGATGTGTCTTGATCTGCTACATACACATCAATTCAGCTAGCCAAAATAAGCCTTATCAGCTTAAGGACTCTGGTTCCAAATGAACAACTTCTGCATGACCCCAGCTAGATGTTCTATCAAAGTGAGACCATAAGCTTGAAAATGAGTCACCTCCAATGATCTTATTCAAACCTGACTATGCTAACCATAAAGCAGCCACCTGGTGTGACTTTCTTAATGCCCCATAGCTCTGAAGTAGGTCCCTGACAACAGCAATACAAAGAGCCACACACCCAACCAAAAAGCCACTCTATAGCCACAAATAATGCTCAGAACAGTACCTAACTTCATCAACAGCACATATAGGGTCCCAGCCACAGCACTAGCCACTCCAACACACCTGATTCAAATGATCAGCTCGTTATCAAGCTCTGTAATGGCTTAATAACGAGCTGATCATTTGAATCAGGTGTGTTGGAGCAGGGAAACATCCAAAACATGTAGGACAGTGGGCCTCAAGGACTGGACTTGAGAACCACTGCTCTAAACAAACAGAGGTTTCCTTTTCTGTGCAGTGGACCTCCTGTCAAAGCCCTTCCACACTTGACTTCTTTCATCATGCCTTTAACTTCATAAAGTGCCTAGCTCTGTAGTCTAGTAATAGGATCATTTACCAGATATGAAAAATCATTTCAGAGTCTGTTTTTAATGTTCTTTCCAAAAAGTTTGACTCATGGCTGGAGTCTGGTAGCACTTGTGCTCACAGCTTGGTTTCATCAGCATACATATGCTCCAGTGTGTGTAAATAATAATGCTGCCATGGTTTGTCCGTCAGTTTTTTTCAACCGTCAAATAAGTTGCAAGCCTTTTTTTGTGATAAAGCAAAGGTTTTATTAAAAGATATATTCTTTGATCCAATTTTCTTCAAATATAATTATTTTTTATTCATTTAATTCCTGACATACTTACTGTTTAGGTTCTATGGCAGCAAACCTATGATTACATATTTGTGAATATCATATGTGGATTTTGGGAATGCTTATTAACACTTTTGGCATTTTTAGACCAAAGGACCACCAAATTAGTAGAGTAGGCCAAATTGACTAGTTATATCAACAATGAAAATAATGTTAATTATTTGCGCTCTCAGTAAGGTACTTTAATGCTCACAGGACCTTTGCCTCATTTCACATTTTCAGAGACTGTAATAGCAAGCAAAGAAACTACAGCACTTAACCACAGAACATGGAGTAGGATGAAAAAGGATAAATTAACAAACCGCAACACCAAGTTTCTCTGTACTCATCTGAGTGTTAATCTTCTTCCTTTTTTACAGTCTCTAACTCACACGGCCGTTCTCTAGTCTGTGGAGGAGGAGAGGTGGAGGAAGGTTTTAACGAGCTTTAAAGTAATGAAGGTTGAGATAAGAGTCTTATTTCAGCACTGAGGAGGGGGAGTAGCATACTGAACTGACAGATTAGCTCACTGAAAATATTTCTCTCACATAGACTCACTCAGCATCTGCTTTTTACAATTATATTTTTGGGCAATCATCTGGCACGCAACTCTTAAGGAATGAAGACAGTCAAATGAGAATGTATGTTTTAGTTTCTCTGTTCATCCGGAGCCTAAACGCTGTAGTGGATTCTTGGGTAGAGTCTTGAGTTTTCTGGACTGCTGCCACCTAAAGCTTTTCTTAGAAATACTCATAGATTGAGAATTGAAGCAGTTAGGAGCAGCTTTTATTCTTTGTTTCTGAACTTCTTAGCAAGCTGTTAGACCGTTTAAGCCAAAGCTTTTCCTCTAAACCTGCTGTTTCAGACACAGGTGCTTATTGTTCATGTTTGCACAGAAACAATTACCAAGAATTAGTGATCCTAACAGGATTTCAGGATTCTTGATATGTGATCAAATGCTTGATATGTGTGTCTGTACTTAGCCTTAAAATAGGAAGTTGGTTTTTGATTTTGGGTGCTAAATACACAGGTAAAACGCGTATAAAGTTTGTATATTCTGTGTTATGGTAGTGGAAAAGGACCCACTCCTCTGTAGATATCAGGCTCATTCTTAGTTGACCAAAACAAAACAATTTGCATCCTTAAACACCTCTTCAAGATTAACCTTATTGACCCAGTGCTGAAAAAAGTGGAGGAGTTGCTACCTAAATGGCTCGGCTCTACAGAGAGCTGTGGTAGCTGCTTGTTCGGAGATGGAAAAAGTGAATGCAATGCATCATATCATGCAGAATCATTCATACAATGCAAAAGTTACGAAAGGTCACAGTTACCCAATAACTTTGTAGTAGTTTGGCTTCCAGTGCTCTGACAGACATATGAAGCTCTGCTCAGGTATGAGAAAAAACATACCACTCATGTCAAAGTTCCCTCATAACTCATTATAACTAAATCTCAAGTCAACCAATGGTATGTGCAGTATGTCTTAAAATATACAGACAGTTTGATAGTCAATCGACAAATATTTGATCACTTTTTTGCTTATGCTTCAGTATCACACAGGCATTACGTCACCACTGAACACACAGGGAAGGGTTACTGTAAGTTTCACATATGGGGTTTACCTTACCTGTCAGCTCCATATTACTGAGAAGCGTTTTCCTCTCTGAAAACAGGTGCCTTTTTGATACTTAAGTAGTTCATCATGTATCATGTGCAAATAAACTCTGAGACTTTCAGTTCCTATGAAATCTAAAGAGGTTTTAATATCATTTTCTCGTTTTGTATGTATTGCATTGATTGCGACCTTTACCCCAGTTACACAAAAATTTGCTCTGAGGATATTCTTCGTGATATTTTGCAGTTTCCTGAAAACATGACTCATCCTGCACAGGGTGTAAACTACGAAAGAGAGTTAGGGCCACATGAAGAGAAAAAAATAATAATTACAGGAACGAGATTAAAATCAAAATTTTGAGATTAAAAATTTGAAATTATGTCAATAAAGTCGAAATTTCGAGATCAAAGTCGAAATTTTGTGAATTAAATCAGAATTCTGAGATTAAAGTCAACATGAATAAAGTCGAAATTTTGTGAATTAAATCTAAATTTCAAGATTAAAGTTGAAATTACGAGATTAAAGTCTACGCAAATAAAGACGAAATTTCATGAATAAAGTTGTAATGTTAAGATTAATGATAATGACTTAACAACATTGCTGCTTGTCACTTGACAGCATGTCCTCTGTAGAACAGTTTGTAAAGTATTCGGACTCTGTAAAGACTGGGCCAAAGATTATGATGCAGATGCAGGGTTTTCGATGGTTACACCTGCGTGCTATACAGCGAGGCTACGTCATTTCGCAAGATACAGTAAGACAACTGATCAAGTTGATTGATCCTGAAGACGTGGAGCAAAGACGAACCCTGCGTCTGAGGCACAGGCATTACCGAAGCCAAGGACCTAATGCGCTCTGGCACATGGATGGCTATGACAAATTTAAGTCATACGGCATTTCATTTAGACTTTTTGAAATTTTGACTTTAATCTTGAAATGGAAATTAAAAACAATCTCCCTCCTGTAATAATTGTTTATTCATAGTAATAATAATCTTTGTTTGTAGTAAACAGATTTTGGTCTCAGTGAAAAACCTTGAATTTTTATGTTCTTCCTACAAGAAGTTCAGGACCTACAGACTAGTTGTAATGTCTGGATGGTTACAGTGTTTCTGTATTCATTTTTATTAAGGCCTGTCACCATCTGCCTCATATCACCCTTTAGCTCTTTTTCATCATACCATATCTGTCAGCAATCAGTCAGTAAGCAGTGTAATGTCCACATCCCCTTTGTGATCACAGTTTGAGATAAGATCTTACTGACATTGTGTAGAATTTGCAATGCATAACAGAGACTGTCAGCTCTGCCACAGTTACATGTATGCAGCTCAAAAGTGTATTTGCCTAACACTTTAAAGGAAGTAAGAGGATCGTAGTCGGCTGTGGTTTCAGTCTGCTGAAAGTCTTCCTGTGCACAGGTCATGACACTCGTACTTAGGGTCAACGCTCCTGTTGTATGCAGAGCTCTGAATGACCTGAAAGCACTTCAGTCATTAAAGGAACTGAAACAAGTCAAAAAAAAAAAAACGATATCATATTAAAAAAATATCTGATCCTCAATTGATCTGCTAAGTCCTTAAGCAGTTAATATGTAGCTTGTAGGTTTACAAGTATCAATAATTTCATTGTTAATACGCTGAATATTTTCTAGTTATCAATCAAAGGGGTGTAACTGTACAAGTATTCCTACCAGTTTTGGATCAGATGTGTACCACTCCAAATATGCTCAGAACTAGAGGTCCCCACACTGACTGGAAAAAGAGATCACACCACACGTACATGGTATCTTTCACCTGTACTGTTGTTTGATGAAAAAACAAATCATCTCAAAACGTCCTGAATTTCAGTTTTCTTTTTGGCTGTCAGGAGTTTGTTTGACTTGAAAAGATTGTTTCTGAGTGTCACAGTTTGAAACCCCATGACTAAATAATCTATCAATTGAAGAAGTTTTCGTTTGTTTGACTGTTTTTTCACCTACTCTTCTGCTTGTGTTTGAAGAAATTGGGTTAATTTCGCTTGCTTTGACAATATTGACCCGTATGAATTATTGACTGTTTTCTTTTTGACCCAAATAGATTATTATCAGTATTTACAGGTGGGTTCATCAAGTTTGTAACACAGAGGTAATGTTCTGGCACCGATGTTATTGTGCAGGTTGTGTAGTAAGACAGATGACAGTGCAAATCATTACCCTGTAGGTTGACTGAGTCATTGCTCAGCATCCTGAGATGTCACACCAAGCTCTTCTTCACCACATTCCCTCGCTTTATCCTCTGTGATTAAAGATCTTACTCACACCAGTGAGTCCTGCCTAGCAACAGCCCAACCAATCCTCTTTGCTACACAGACACTTTAGTCCAAAAAAGACAGATGGAAATGTGAGCTCTCTCTCCTGCCAGGATCATTGATTTTGTGTATGTCCTGTCTTGTGTTTGTGTTTCTCATCTGTTTGAGGAAGTGAACCTGTGTAAACGTCAGAGGCTTGGCTGGGATCACTGGTGATTCTCCTCTGCTGAGCGACTCAGTGATTCAGAGCTATGAGAGGATTAAAAAAAGAACAGCACAAACTGACTGTCAGCGATAAATTTGGCATTGCACTGTGTAGTGAATATCTTGGATATGTTTCATGGCACAGTAGAGTAGATATAAAGAATAATACAGCATGTTAAACCAATGAGACCATTGTAATTAATTCTGTCTCTGATGTTGTTTTTAGTACTGGATCAATGAGTTTACCAGCTCTCTGGGCATCGGTGTCTTTCACTCAGGGATTGAGATCTATGGAAGAGGTAAGATTACACAGAAACACGACACCCTACGTATCAGTTGACTTTTGTGTGTGTGGATGTGACAGAAACAAATCCTTGTTTGTCCAGCTTACAAATAATGTCTGGAAAAGAGAGTTTTTCTTCTTTAAGGAAATGATACAGGTCACTGCTTAAATGTGTTTATTCATGCTTTGCTTGTGTGTGTTTTTTAGAGTTTGCCTATGGCGGACATCCGTACCCATTCTCAGGAATTTTTGAGATCACACCAGGTGAAGCAACTGAACTGGGCGAGACCTTTAAGTTCAAGTAAGTGCAGGATATCTGTTTCTGTATATGTAACAGTGATGTAGAGATAGGCCGTTTAATCAGCGAGCCACTTAATTGAAGCAGATTATGACATTTTTAGTAATCTGCGTCATATCGGCATTGGCCCTCACAAGGCTGATTTCACCATTATAATTTTTTGTTTGTTTTTAAGTTTTTAAATGGATCAGCACCACAGTACATCTCTGACCTCTTAATAATAATAATGCATCAGATTTTTATAGCGCTTTATCAGAGACCCTCAAAGCGCTTTACATTGGATACATCATTCATTCACTCACACCTTGGTGGTGGTAAACTACCTTAGTTGTCACAGCTGCCCTGGGGCAGACTGACAGAAACGTGGCTGCTATTTTGCGCCTACGGCCTCTCCGACCACCACCACCACACAACACTCACATTCATACGCCAGTGGAGGACACACACTGGGAGCAAGGTGGGTTAAGTGTCTTGCCCAAGGACACAACGGACAGACTAGGGACAGGACGGGGCTTGAACCGCCAACCTTTCAGTTATTGGCCAATCCGCTCTACCTCCTGAGCTACGTTCCTTGAGGTCTGCTGATCAGCTCCAACTCATTGTCCCTAAAAATCGTTTGAAAACCAGTGACGACCGAGCTCTCTCAGCTGTGGAATGAATTGCCGCTCAAGATTAAAACATCCCCCGCTCTTTTTACTTTTAATTCACATCTTAAAACTCATTTTTATACCTTGGCTTTTAGCTCAGCATGAGAGTTGTGTGATCTCTGTCCTTTTGTGTCTTTTATGGTCCTTTTATCACTTTTATTTCTTTTATACTTTTGTGTTTTTATTTCATTTATTTTATTTCATTTTAAATGTTTTTTTTTACTTTCTTTTATTTATTTCCTCGTGATGTTTTCTGAAATGTTTGTTCTTTTAAATTTTACTGTGCAGCACTTTGGCAAACTTGAATGTTTTTTTTTTAAATGTGCTATATAAATTAAGCGGATTGGATTGGATTATGTTTTAAAAATTCATTAAAATCCACTTAAAAGATGTTTCTGGCTAAGATAAACATAGATATATGATTTAAATGTTCATGAAATATCATATTTACGTGGGACTTAAAGGTTTGAGGCACCCACAGAACTAAGAGAAACTAGTCGGTCAATAATCACCGTCCAGCAGTCACTCTGTCTGATCTGGATAACAGAATTGGATAAGATTGGATAACAGAATGAGCGGACTTATTCTTGTATTAAAAAGCCTGTTGTTACTGCTGCTACAGTTTAGAGAGACCGACAAAAGAGTACATGGATGGAGATTAGAAGAGTAAAGCATGTGACACACATTTTGTGATTTCACATTTTTCCTCATGGTTCATAGCAGCTGACTTGTATTAGAGCAGGGAATAAGATAAAACTGATAAGACTGGGGGGAAAATGTTTGATCTTTAAATGGAACAAAAAGACAAAAAATGCTGCATTAATGAGTGTGGTGTTGTTTTTTGTTTTACTGCAGTTGCATTGGAATCTGTTATGTGGTGGTGAGACATCAGGACACACAGTTAGTTCAATATTTTTCAGGACTCCCACCGTCGGCCCAGAGTCTGTGTTAGTGTGTGTGTGTGTATGTTTGTCGACCCAGAGCTACTGTGTTGCTGTGTGTTACTTCTGCTCTAGTTGATCTGCCCCATGGCTTTAGACAGACTGCTTGGCACACATACACACACACTCTTGCACTTTCTGTATCCATGTAAGCCTCTACACTAAAAGTATGGATCATCTGGGACCAATTCCTACATATCAGAAACTACAGTAATCTCTGCCAAATGAAAATGAATCAAGTGTCTCTGAATGTAGCTGTAATTTTTCTGTAAAAACATAAAACAGCATGCCATGATTCATAAAATGTACATCTGGGACCGGCATAATATCTTGCTCATTCTCGATGATCATGTTGGAGGATTGATGTCTTGGTCAGGCCCTAACAACTCCTCAGGCTGTGGAGAAACTCACCATATTTATTGATGATTCACTTGACAAGTCAAAGAAGTCATTCCGAATGTTCGGACAGTGAGTAACAACCAGTGTTGTAACACCCTCCACACCCTTTCCCACCCTCGTGTCTGCAGAGAAGCCATCGTGTTGGGCAGCACAGACTTCACAGAGGAAGACGTGGAGCGGATAGTAGAGGAAATGGGGAAGGAGTACAAAGGAAATGCCTACCACCTCATGCACAAAAACTGCAACCACTTCTCCTCGGCACTGTCAGAGGTATGCACGCACACACACACACACACACACGTAAATGCTGCACTGCACTGTTTTGGCTCTGCGTCTGAATTTACTGACATAAAAAGCAAAATAGTCAATCCTGAAACATGCCCTGATTTTGTTCTTTGCTCAGCGTAAAAGCACAACAACTCTGTGCTCTGTGCTCTGTGTGTGTGTGTGTGTGTGTGTGTGTGTGTGTGTGTGTGTGTGTGTGTGTGTGTGTGTGTGTGTGTGTGTGTGAGTGTGTGTGTGTGTGTGTGTGCTTTCAGCTGGCTTAGCCTAGTGTGACTAATGAGTAGGGAGTCTTACAGTTAGCATCTAGCAGTGAGATGGGGATTAAGACACACTGATACAAGCCCTGACACGCATAGCCAGCTGGCAAATACACAAACATTACACACTCACAGGGCTGCGCACACAATCATGCTCCCACACAAAACCTACACACTTAGAACACACACACACACACTATACACAAATTTTAACCACATTAAAGGTACTCTAAATTAGAAAAACACAGTTTACAAATGAAAAATGTCAAAATAAAAATGTCCCAATCATTATAAGACAATCAAATCATGACTCTTGAGTTTTTACATCTGTAGACGAGTTTGTTTAAGTCTGAAATCAAGATTTTGTCTTAACTAAAGAAATCCGTTGCTTGGAATTGAAAAAATTGTGAAGCAATGAAACACATATAGCAGGACTCAGGATCGTCATATTAACTCTAAACTCTTCAGTATGTGAGATCAGCTTATAAAGACAGTAAACTAAGTAGTTTGAACGTTGATGGTTCTCGCAGTGTTGAAATAATTCTCTGAAGAAGCCTCAATGTGTTCAGTGTTGATGGTTTTCCTCCCGACTGTTTTGGCTCAGTCCTGACTCCCTACAGCTTCATGCCTCGCTGCAGCAGGTGGCTTGACTTCCTTGCCCAATGACATTCGAAGGACATTTAAATTTAGCAACTACTTAATAAAAAAGGGTGAAACCCTTAGCAACAAAAATGACAGTTTTTAATTCTACTGTTGATCTTGAAGTAATTAGTGCTGTGACGATATGCTTTTCTCCCATTTCGATTCTTCTATGATTTTTTGGATGCCGATTCGATGTAAATTGCGTTTCTACGATATTGTCGATTTTCTCGATTTTTAGTCTGCATTTTTTTAACACCAGTGAAACAGTTGAATGATTATGATTGTCTACTGACTATTCAAGGAGCCATATTTCCCAAAAAAATATACATCACATGGAGTTCAGTTTTTAAGATTTATACTTAAATTTGAAAGAAAAAAAATCGTTTTTTGAGCATAAAAATGCATTTAAAAATTGTAAAACAAAAAGTCGCAGTACTTTTGTGAATCGATTTTTTCTCTCACCCCTAGAAGTAATGACTTATTTAATCTCGTGGAGGTAAATCCACTTTGTTTCTCACACAGCTCGGATATTGTCCGGCAGTGCATGCAAACTCAGGTTGTAAATTCTATAATCTTGAGTATTTTTCCTCTTCACCCAGTAAAAATAAACCTTGATCAACTGCAAACACAAATGCTTTAGTTTGTGCTCACATTTTGTAAAGTCTAAATATACATCTGCTGTGTGAATTTGACAACTAAAGCTTTTTATATCATCCGCACACCACACTGTGTCCTTTTTTTGAGTTAGCTGTTTGCGTAGTGTCTGCCTTCTGTCCCACTTGAGGTCTTGCTCATCTGTGAGATCACCAGTGTACTAGACTCAGTGTAGTCGTGCAAGCAAGTGTGATTTTCATTTCAAAGATCTGTGGGTTTTTTCTTGTCAAACAGACTCGTCTCTGATTGAGGGAGGGAATTTCAATTGCAAACCTGAAAACATTCACAGCTTAAACAAAGTACAAAAATACATCACCATGAAGCTAAATGAAGTCAGCAGCTGGTGTCTCCTCATGAAACAGTCCTTCAGCGTCTTTGGAGAACGCTCTGATAAAGGCACAATTTAGCATTGACTGGGAAACACCGGGTTTCTTGGAAGCCACTTGTCCCATATTGCTGTAATCGAGCTAAGTGATTATAATTAGACCTCACTTTGACAGTGTTGCTGCCTGTGCCTGCAGGCTTGTCTCTAAAGGGAAGAGAAGAAGAGAGAGAGAGAGAGAACCGCCAGAGATTCCTTTGGTCTCCTCTCTGCAGATATCCTTCTGTACTTACAGTAAATGAATGAATAAATTGCTGTAAGAGGGAAGAGAGCAGTGCGATGCATTTTCATTCATGCATTAATTTTTCATTTCTTTCACTGCAAGATCAGCTGAAACTCAAAATAACCTTAAATGTCCTCCGATCATTGACTGTACATTAAAAATATTCCTCCATCTCCTTTTGTTGTGAGATGTGGGTAATGTGTGTGTAATGCAGCCATTAACCATTTCAAATAAGGATAATATAGTGCTTAATGCTTGGTAAAGCTTTTAAAAGAATGTTTTTTCTCTCTCTCTGTTTCTCCTCTCCTCAGATCCTTTGTGGCCGGGAGATCCCACGCTGGGTGAACCGCCTGGCTTACTTCAGCTCTTGCGTGCCCTTCCTCCAGAGCTGCCTGCCCAAAGAGTGGCTGACCCCTGCCGCCTTACAGTCCAGTGTGAGCCAGGAGCTTCATGGAGCAGGAGAGCTGGAGGAGGCCGAGGACGCTGCTGCCACCGCCTCCCTGGCATCCATGTCGCCCTGCTCGCCCTCATCTTCCTCAAGCCCCACTTCCTTCCCCCGTCATTCAAGACACCAGCCCCGCCGGTAGAAGCTGCTGGGACTTGCACGGAAGACTTGGGGCTGGAATTTGGGTCAGAGACTGCAAGGTAGCCCAAATCTGACAAAAAATCCTGCAGAGGCAGTGAACTGCTGTCTGCTCCTGGTAAAAACCTAAGTAAGACCTCGACCGTGGTCCAGAGATGAGAACAAAGATTTCTTTGCGCTGCTGACAGACACGGGATCATCGCCCAGTGAATATGGCTGCTGGATTCCAACATCACACCTATAATCAGGAGTAGCTCCCCACAAACTGCTTTCATTGTATTACCAGGCAAATCACAGGGTTGAAGGAGAGATTCAGCTATGATTTTTTTTCTTTTAGTCCTTTTATTTAAGGAAATCTACCAGTCACATGCAGATTTTACCAACAGTTCGTTGGTGTATGGTGCTAATATCTTGAGTTGGTTTATGACAATGACCTCTAACCAAGAGTTATCTTTTAATTTGGCAGATTTATTCTGGAGTATTCCAGCATGTTTCTTAAACTTATCAACTATCCAACACCTGGGTTGGATTAATGTAGCAATCATCTGCCAGAAACCTCAGCTACATCACGAATGCAGCTATACTGCACAAACCAATGCAACAGACAGAAAAATGCACTGGTTTTTCTGCTTTGGTGTAAATATGCCTTATGGGGTATTTTCATGTCGGAGATCGATGCAATCTGATCTTATCCCCGAGAATGTGGTGGATGTTAAAAACTACTGCACTGATCTCTACTCTTAGCAGTGGTAGCCCTGATTTCTATTTATCAAATTTTAAAATGACCACTAACCAAGTGCTGGTTTGATTTGACCTGTGGCTGGTAAATGTTTCTTCTCCAGCCTACTGGAGGTGGGAAGCTGGTAAGATACTGAAAGCAGCAGGTGGAGTCTGGGATTTACAAACTTTGCCTCAAAATTCTGTGTGCATCACAGAAAATCAACCTCTGGTGTGCATTTTTCCCTCACAGTAGACAGCACATCCTTAAGGACTACAATCACCCTCACTGTCGCCTAACTTCAAACAAAAACATTACGTTCCAGCGCCAGTGTCTTAAATGTGTGCAAAACACTCGTCGCACCATGGACATGTTTGTTTCCGTTGATGTTTGCCCCTTAAGTCCCTTTCTTTGTCTTTTTTTGGTCAGTTATGTTTCAGTAGATTCATTTATAGCAGCTCTTAAAGTCCTACCTGCTCATGTAAAACCACACGTTATTTGAGGAAATCAACCACATTAATAATGTTTCTATTTTTTTTCGACCCTGATTTTTTTCTTTTTTGTAGAAAATACATCAGTCCCTACTGCATTACTTATGACAGATTTTTCCTCACTACTCATGAAAACAGTCAACTTTCTAAACATTTAGGTTTTGTGGCAAACTGGTTAATTTTGAGAAACGTTTTGTTTGCAAAAGGTTGTGAGTTCAAATCACAACCTTTATTTTTCTTCACAGTGACTGCCATTGTGCCTTTGAGCAAGGTACCTAAAGAACCAGAGGATTATTGGTATATGTGGGCAGGAATGATATCTTTAAAATGACATTTTTGCTCAAAATGTCTCGTTTCAGAGTTATTTATTCAGAGGGAAGGGGTCTCTCTTATGCTGACATGTGCAATTACATTTACCCGTAGTAGCCCAGACTGAAATAACTCGACACAGAGAGCTTTCAGCAAGTGTTTGACCCTATCCTAATCTCCCCTCTAGCCACAGTCTAAACACTGAACTCTTGCAGACAACAGACAGGAAGTTTCTGAGTTTGTGAGTGTGGAGATTGTGATTGGGTCAAAGTTAGTTGGTTGCAACCTTCAGCCTCAACCACTACATGTCACTAAATCTTACAAACTGCCCCTTCAACCTAAAGGTGCTCCGAAACTGTCGTTGGACTGGGCTGTTCCTAGTCGTCCGCATGCTTCTCCTTGTGTCTGCAGGGGAAACTCTTCGATCTTAAGTTAAGCACTCTGGACTCAGCCCATATTGGTCTAAAGATACAGGAGAAAACAGGCATGTAAAACACACAAGATGGAACTGTAGGACCCTCTTTGACTGACCTGCTGTCTCTATTCTGCATGGTGACAGTCCACCTCCTCACATCTATGTCAATCCAGAGAATCTCTAATGTTTCTTTTCATCAGAGTCATTGTGTACAAGCATTTACTCAGATTAGTCTTTGACTCATCTTCATTGTGTTATGGATTATTTTTACACGATAAGATGAAGCTGCTTTTTCTCTATGTTGAGCACCCCATTGAAACTCTTCACATGCTGCACATGCTTAATGTGTAACATCCTGAAACAGAGCCATGGATGCTTTACAAAACAATCGACTTTGCTTGTTTTTCCTTGAGGTCTGAGACCAGACTTCTAGCAGAAAATCTGTCAGTTATGGTCAAAAATTTCTTTTTGTGTCTTCATCCTTTCAAGTGTTGCTTTGTTTTACGGACTCTGGCCTTTTTGTCTGTTTTATGTTGGATAAACTCAGGACCCTGAAAGCTTTGTGATATAACCCTTGTACATTTTTACCCACATGTTTTGTTTTTGTTGCTCTTTCTAATGCAGTAGTCACTCCACAGAGCTTTTTGGGAATGCACTGTGGCAGTGCAGTTTTATACTTCTCTCTTTGATATGAAAAAGAGCTTTTGTTTACAACCTTGATGTTTGTATGTGAGCCTGTGCTGTTTGTTTTCCTGATCGTGCATAAATGTGTGCGTGTGCACTCTTATTATAAATGGTTTCGACAACCTGCCAACTGGGCCGTATTGCCTGACATAAAACACACATATACTCAGAAATAAGAGATCCACTCTAACAAATGTAGCAGCATTCCCACAAGGTTTTAGTTGAGACAAACTATTGCTGGCTCTTCAGGAGACAGGGTTTTCTTAGCTTAGACCAAGAGTATTTAGATCCTCAGACTACATTTTGATATTTTCAGTAACATTATTTAGGTGCTGTGGTGGAAAAACAATTTGATTTTGACTCCAGATGGAGTTAGCACGGCACACAAAAGACTGAAAGAACAACAACACAGTGACATTTGTCATGGAACCAGCACAGGAATGTGATTTGGAGTGAAAGTTTTCAACTGAGTCTATCAAAGGTTTAATTTTAAATGTTACTTTTTATGCTTGAGGAAGTCTAAATAAAAGTCATGTTTATTTTTCATGCACTATCACAGACTGACACACACATACTGCTTTTAATGGCGCCCTCTGCTGGCTCATAATTCAACTGTTATTTGCCTGTGGTTCTCTAAACACTGAGGTTTCCTCGCTACTGAAGCCTTTAACAGACATGCATTTATTTCATTGTCTTTCTTATGACAACTTACTTCAGTTTTCTTAAAATCTTACTTAAATGTCCAGTGATGAAGACGCTTCTCCACAGTGCAAAAGCACACAACAAACATGGTGGTATGGGCAACATGGCATGCCATCATCTGGCCTAGCAGGGACCAACCTACTGTTTTGTTTTCTAGATTTCCAGAAAATTATCACACAAGAGCAAACTTTGTTGTCTTGAAATAAATTCATCAGTTTACAGGAAAAACAGTTTTGTGATTCCAAGATACCAAGGAAAGTAAGTAGAGATCCCAAAGTGACAAAAAAGGTCTCAAGAAAACATCAGGGTAAACACTGCATGTCTGTTTAAGGCCTCTGTCGCCTTCACCTTCATTGCATCAAATACTTGTGTTATAAGATCATTTCTGTCTGTCGATAAATAAATCAGTTTGGTTAAATATCTCCAGCTTTGATTTCACCACGAATGCCACTTGAAGGTGGTGTTTTTGTCCATCTTAATAAATAATCATTAACCACCATCACCAAGGCCAAAGATAACTGTAACTCCACCAATCTGCATTCTTTAGTCGGTAGTCATTAGCCCCGCTATTTGAATGTTTCATGTCTAAAACCCATCATTCCTTTAATAAATGCTTTGTCATCTTTTCAGTTATCTGCACCTCTTGTGTGAGCCATAAATGTGAGGTAGAAAGGGAAACCTCAGCCTTTGTACACAGAAAAAAAACTGACTTTACAGTGAACTTTCACAGGCCTCAGAGGAGAAGAGCCAATTTGTACTCCGCTGTAAGGTTAATAAAAAAAAAAGTATACAACCTGGGACTCCAGTTTTTGTTGTTTGTGTAAAAGTTCGTTCTGAAGATGCATAACGTAAAAAAAAAACAGTGCAGTCCAGTTGAAAAGGCTTGTGTTAAGGCAGCGGTTCTCAAGTCCGCTCCTCGAGGCCCATTGTCCTGCATGTTTTGGATGTTTCCCTGCTCCAACACACCTGATTCAAATGATCAGCTCGTTATCAAGCTCTGTAATGGCTTAATAACGAGCTGATCATTTGAATCAGGTGTGTTGGAGCAGGGAAACATCCAAAACATGCAGGACAGTTGGCCTCGAGAACTGGACTTGAGAACCACTGTGTTAAGGTAAGTTGGACAGACACTAGAGGGAGACAAACACTCCTTACTGTTAGAACAACAGCATCACATGCAGGCCTCTCAAGTTTTGAACTAAGCTAAGAGTGAGATTTCCTTGGGGTATGAGGGCCACATTAAGAAAAAAATGTTTTTAAATCTTCAAGAATAAAGTTATTATTGAGGAGAATAAAGTCATTAATATATAAGAATAAAGTCGTAAAGTTACCTGTTGTGCAGGAGAGTTGTTAAAATCAGCACTGTGAAGCATTTAGATGAATTGTACTTTAGTATAGGTTTCACAAACATGGAGATACTTAATTCTTTGGTAAATGAGCATTACACTGTCATCATGACAGTCCACACTGTGGACTGTCATGATCACCATCTGGTGTGAAAGGCAGTTCACTGTGGTCATTCTTTGAGTTGTGGGAGGAAATCAGTTCAGAGCAGCACCAGGTGTCTTAGTACCTGATTGGCTTAAGTGAAGTCAGGTTTGGGAAGGTGATACAAGTCCTTGAGCTCCAGTGCAGAGTGCTGAATCATTGTCTTATCCTCTGTTTTAGTGACAGATTCTCTCTGT